GGTACTTTTTATCCTTGTCACGACCGCTACTAATGATCATATTGATGACTGCCATATGCTTTACCCCAGACTTTTGCAATGTTTATGGATCATTGATATGCAAAATGTTAAATGGAAAAGGCTATGGACTGAAAACGTATTGTAGATTTTGACTTTCAAGTGGGAACTTGTCTTAATTTTGTCAGATGCAAGAATGGAAAAAGCACAGTGAGCCATAGGACTGACCATATGGAGTACCAGCTGATTATGCAGGAAAAACTGTCTCCAAATCAAGAGAAATTCTCATGCATTTTGATAATTCTCATGCCAGCTGTTAATGTTTGATTGAATGTGTGTATTTCCGGCAGTAGATAATGATGTAAATTAGTGGGAAAAAAAAAAGAGCACAGGCCATAGAGAAAAAAACTATATATATATATATATATATATATTCTTCCACTTCATAAGGAGGGATAATTAAAATGCACTATATTCTGTATTTGAGAACTAACAAGATCATAAACTATCCAGCTATTGGTCATTTCCTACAATTTCTCTACTCTATTAGAAACGATGCTGGCTCAAAGATTTGTTTCAGCTGCAATTTTTCAGCTGACAGATAGACTCAAGGTAGAACTAAAAAGAAAACTGAAAAGAAAACGCAGAAAACCAACCAACCTCCTTTAGAAAATTGTTGTGTGATCTTTGCATTGGAATTCTGTTGTCATTTCTCATCATAGTGAAGGATATAGCGAAAGCAGATCAACATCTATTATGAATAGGGTCTGATCCTTTTCTAACTGTCCTCTTGTTTGATTGATTAGGATCAAACGTCCTTGAAGGTGCAGGTGCCAACTCCACCATTGACTTCGATTGCAAATCCACCATTGCAACAGCAGTTAGGACACGAAAGCTTCTAACAAATGGCAATAGTCCCTGGTCCAATCTTAGAGCAAGATCTTTGCTTTTCAGGCCAGAAACCTTGAATGGTTGAGAAGCTAAAATCCCAACACAAACTAAAACAAGGAAGCTTCTAAAAGTCAAGAGACTCATGTTCCTTTTTTCTTCTGCTATGGGAAATGTGGAATAACGGAAGCTTCTGTGTTTGAAGCAAAAATAATGAGATGGGTAGTGTGCTGGTGCTGCTACTCTTCTACTTCTTGTTACTCATTACTGAAGGATATGTTCTAAGGGACTTGAAAGACTAAAAGCATAAAGCATGAGAAGCTAAGGAAGTTTAAGATTGAGCTGAATCATAAGCATGGTATAGAAACAAGGGAAATATATAAGGGTGTTTTAGAAGACACTGACAAGTTTTGAATAAAAGTTACTTGGAAGAACATCCTTGGGAAGCCAAGTATCTTTTCATTCAGTTTCCCTACATTCCTATCATTTGTCATGCTCTTTTTTACCAAACAAAGACCAAACTCTCTGTCTTGAACTCTTTATCAATCTGCCACGTCAGCTGAATTTGCTGACATGTCCTTGTATCGTACCTTGAAGACAAACCCCCAAAGATTCGATGCATATTGCTTAACTGAACTAGCAGCCTTCTAGGTTTATTTTGCTGGGAGAAAACTCATAGCATGTTTGAAACAATCTATTTTAAAATAAATTATGCTTATATTTCTTAATTTCAGAACTTTTTTTTAAATTTTTTGTTAATAATTATAAAAATTTACCATTATAAGAAATAAAATAAGTATATTATCTAACTATGAATAAAAATAAAATATAAACAAATTCTTAAACAAAAAACCGCTGGAATTTTTGTGAGATGTTTATATCAAAATAATGGATGACATTCAATTTTAATTGGAGTTTCATCTTAACAGTGCATGCAATGAAGGTTGTAAGCAAAGTTTGGAATAAATTATTAAGGTGAAATTATTATTTTAGTAAAACTAAAAATATCTATTGTATTATATTTAAGTTTTATCTTAATATAATGCCCTAAAACAATGAACATCGAAGTGATTTTGGTTTTAAATTCCAAAAAAAAAAAGTCTTACTAAAATACTGATTACAAAATTAATAACTAAAATATTTATAAAAATTACAGTGAGTGGCTTGTCAACACTTTTCTATAAAAGTTTTATTTTAAAATTTTTAACAAATGTACGTTACTTGTTTAGGGGTTATCCAAAAATTAAAACTTCTTGATCATCACAATGTCTCTCTTATTCTCTGATTTTGAAAGGTAAATTGGGAAAATTAGTAGAATTGTTTTAGTTATGTAAGAGCTGTGAACCGAACTACTCTACCAGAAATAGAAATAAAAGGGTTAAGTTGAGTGATCGTTCAGAATGGTAATGCAACAGAGACAAGAAAGGCATTAAAAGTAGAGTTTTGGGAGAAGGTGGGGAATAAGAACCACTCCGAAAAAAACAAACCAACCAATAACTGTCTTGTATGTTCCGAGCACTTTCTTTATGCCAACTATCTTTAGAATTCCAAGCTCTTCACTCCATGCAACAAAAATTGCAGTCTCGGTTTCTTGTGCTTAATGGAATTCCTTTATGCTTTTCTTACCTCTCTTTGGATTGGATTGCTTAGCCCAAAAACCTCCATTCAAAGTTTAAAGAAAACGTTTGTTAACTTCCAAATATGGCCATTCATTCTAACTTTATTTTTCTCGCTAATTCATGATGACCAAACCCAACACTCTTTTAACTTGTACCCGCTTGAAAAATTATTAAATGTTAAGAGATTTTGTAATTTAAACAACTCATATTGTGTCATGTTAATAAATTTTATAATTTATAAATAAAAAGGTAACGTGTGTCACACGGTGAGTGATCAAAATCATGTAATTTTGTTTCACCCAAAAATTACATGCACCCTCTTAGTTTGCACCTTTCTTTTCTTTTTGTATTTTATAAATTTATGGTTCCAATAAACAGGTAATTCATATGTTTTCATCATTTTAAGAGAAGGGGGATTGAGAAGGACAAGGTACAGATCTTGTTCTAAGAACATGGTCAATTACTTACATACTGTTTCTGACCCACCACTTTAGAGCTATGTGTTAAAGTAAAAAGAAAATATATATCTGACCATTGTTTAAGGAAAAAAAAAAAAGAAAAAGAAATAAATGAACTGTTGCTTTTCAACATAATCCTTCGCCATCAGTAACAGCTTTTCAGAGTCATCATTGGTAAAATAATTACTATACGATCAAAATAAGTTCAAAATGATTCCACCTTATAAACTAGCATATGCTAATCTTTATTCACTACGGTTCGTTTTCCACAGCAAGTCAATTATTTAATCAATTATCATATCCCTATCCTGACACTAAGGCCAAAACCAGCATTTCTATTTTAAGAAACCAATTAGAAAATCACACATGACCAAAACCAAAGGTATCCTTGAGACTTGAGTTTTAACACAGTAAATTTATATTACTATTATTTTATTTATTTTATTTTTAAAAATTATGAAGGTAAAGAATGTTTATTATAAATAAAGAATTTACCCTTCCCTTCCTTTCCCATCATAAATCCATCTCCTAACATACCCTTATTTGCAAACAAAACAAAACTTTCTGTCTAGTCTTGAAGACAATGTAATAGACACGTGGTCCCCTGAGCTTAGATCTAGATGCATAGAGCCATAATAAGTAAATAAACAAAAATGAATACACAAAGTAGGAAAAAGCAAGCTCAAATTGCTAAGAAAAAAAATCACCAATTAATGTTATAACAATTTGTTAATAGTGGTCTTTGTCCCCATTGTTGTCTCCTATCACACCAACATTGACTACAATGACCGATCAACAAAAGGGTAAAGATCTTTCACAGTACCCAGTTTGTACCTATTCCTGAATAAATATCTTAAATGTTAAGGAAGGGCTAAACACTACATGAAGTGCAACACCAAAGAAGATGGACCTTCGTCTGTACAGATGTCAATTGCCTAATGGGCATGTATGGATAGTCTCAAAGTATGATAGAGAGGAATAGAGTTGAAGTTCAGCCTAGGGACTTGTTGCAAAGAAACAGAGTACGCACTATCAAGTGATATGATAGTGAAACAACTCCAAAAGGGTATCAGATGAAGATAAATGCAGAGCATAAATTTTAGTTCATGAATAAGTGAGGAAAAATTATATTACCATACAGAAACAAGAAACGAGAAAAGAAAATTCAACAGAAGCAACTGCTATAGTGAGATATCAAGTATGTCATTGTGAACTTCTTAAGGACTTGGCAATAGTTGCAGCTACAAATAATTTCTTAAAAGATGGAAAATATCATAATATTACTTAATTTCCTTCAGCTGATTTGAGACCTCATGATGTCCGTAGCAGACATCGATATCTAATACCAACATGTTAGCTTATAAACGAAAAATGTATGAATATAGGGAAGATGGAAAAAGATAAGCAATCATTCAGAAGAAATTCATGATAGAAACCTTTTTGCACAAGCAAAATAGGAAAGGATCATATACTGTCCCCATAATTTTTATATTTTTGTTTTTCTTAAAAAAAATTCATAACAAATAAAATTCTTTATAAATTATAGACACGCAAATGAACAGACTCGACTTAACTCAAATTTTACTCTATTGATTATTAAATATTAGAGTATGTTTGTTTCATATTTAAAAAGAGTTTTTTTTAAATAAAAAAAAAACTCTTAATACTTTACTATTTTCTTCCTTAAAGTTTGATCCATGCGCAGTGCTAAAACATGTAAAATAACGTATTAATTGTAGAACGAGATAGTTTTATGCTTTTAACTAACAAAAAATAAATAAAAATTAATTAGAAAATAGTAATTTTAGATTTTAATGAAGAATTGTAAATCCTAGATATCCATGCCTTTGAGAATTATTTTTTTTTCATGTAAACAAAATATTCCCATCTTTACTTCCACCATGGACCCAAGTAAAATTTAGGTCCATGGACTTTGTTGAATGAGTTGGTGAACAAAAATAGTGAAGGCCCAATTGGTTGGTCCGTGAATAAAAGTTAGGGCAACCCTGGCGCTCCCAAATTAAAATTTGAACAAAAACCGTCACAAAGCCAGGGGGAAGCCACTGAACCGGAAACTGCCGCACACATGGTCGTGGAGAACGGTGAAACCGCTCAGGTCCCCGGCGGCGAGTGGAACGAGAAGAGGACTAGAGAGGATGAGGGTGAGGAAGAAGCGTGCGTGTCGAAGAAGCAGAAAGTGGAAGAGAAGAAACCATCAGGTCCCGTGAATTTGGGTTTCAAAAGCTTCGCCTCTTCCGTGGAAATGTTCGATTACTTCTACAATCTCCTTCATGTTTGGCCTCCTTATCTCAATCTTAACAAGGTTTTCCAAGCTTATACTGTCTTTAATCTAGCTATCTATTTTTCTCGGATTATAAAAACATCTATTTTTAAAATTAATTGGCTAGTTACTATGAACTGATTTTAATAGCCGAAGGATTCATTGAACATTTTGATATATTTTAATGCAATATATATTTAATGGTTTACTGTGACATCAAAATGTGATATGAAATTTGAATATCACTTATATCTGTATGTCAAGATTGAACTGCATTCATTGTCAACTAATGTGTAACTTAGGTTTTAAATGAGTCGAATTTTAGTACGTTGCCTCAGTAATGTGTCTTTATGTGGCAGTATGAACATGTGATGTTACTGGAATTGCTTAAGAACGGTCATATGGAGGCTGATATAAAGGTTGGAGGAGGAATCCATGCTTTTCAAGTTCGGAAGCATCCAGTGTGGAAAAGTAGCTGCTTCTTCCTCATAAGGGAGGATGAATCTGTTGATGATTTTAGCTTCCGTAAATGTGTTGATCATATACTTCCCTTGCCAGAAGAGATGCAAGTGAAACATGATGTGAACAGGGCATTGGGGGTTGTAAAGCATCATCGTGGAGGAAAGGGTGGGGGTGGGGGTGGGAGAAAGGGAAGATCCAGACATTGAGTACAATGGTTGGCTTTTACGACCTCTGAGTTGTTGGGTATACCAGGTAGCTAAAACACATCTCTTTCAATAGATTATGAGCAAATCATACAAACGTAAGACATTTGGTTATAAGTCTTGTCCCACTTGTATATTTCTCAACTTCTCAATAGAATGTGAGACTTTTTAGCTCATATTTATTACTTCTGTGGCTATGTGTGGTTCATTTTCACTTTTAATTACGTGCTGTTTTTTGTCCTGATCCTCTGAATATTACAAAATGATGCCTGACTTCAATACAAGTTCACCCTATAACACAACCAATTTGGGTTTTCTTTGGTATTATACCACAACATTATATCACTGATTGGTTGGTTTAGTAGTTTAGTTCTTGGGTATGCATGGTTACGCACGTTTTAATTAGTTGTTACTCTATAAATAGCTAACAAAATGCTCGTATATTCATTAAGAAGATCACTACTGGGGTCAAGGCTTGTTCACGCTTTTATGCCCCTTTGGTACGCTTTTAGTGCTTCTCCGCCGTGCGGATAGGTTGATCATTAAGTAGCTACCAAAAGAGACTACAAAGTGTATGTAAATTAAATTTTAAATTTTCTAAAAACTAAAACTAACATTTTTTATAAGATTAAAATTATTTTTAATTATATTTTTAGATATTACAAACATATTTAAATTAGAAATATGTTAATTTGTACCCACTATTGAAAACTATTTTTTAATTAAAAAATGTAACAATACATTCAGCTTGATATTTTTAATACACGTGTTATTTAGACATTGATTTTTTTTGGAAAAGTTATTAAGACATTGATTAACAAGACCTTCTAAATTATAATAATTTTTAATATAAATGCTCTTATAGTAGAAATACAGTTAAAAAGGTTTGGCTTAATTGTATTTTTTTTTCTATTTTGGAATTTTTAAGTTCCTCTAATTTGAAACAATTAACAATTCCGTTGTAGTCTAGTTTGTTAGGATACTCTGGCTCTCAATTAACAATTCATAATTTTTTTTTCAAATATCTTTATAAATTAAATCAATTAAACTTTATTCTACCAAAACATCAATATTTCCAAAAAAGAAAAGGTCTAGAAAAAAAAAATTTCCCTCTTCAAATTTTATTTTTATATCTTATAAATGCTTTAAATTTGATCAAGTTTTTACTAATTTTTTTATTATAAACTTTTAAAATTATTTAATAAGCTAAATTTATCAAAAACCCTCAAATATTTAAATTAAAAAGAACAGTTTACAAACTTAAAGTAGAAAATTTTGATAAAATAACCAAATTTATTTAATTTTAAAATAAAAACATAATTTACTAAACAAAACTAAAACATCAAAGTTTTACATAATTTAAACTAGAAGAGATAAAAATATAATTAAAACAAAAAAATAAGTTTATATATTAATAATATGATATATTATATCTTATAAGGATCATACATGTCGCAAACATGATTGCTTTCAGGATATTTGAAGTTTATAACAAAAAAAAGATATATTATATTAAAGAATAATTCTACTAGTAAAAAATTTTATTTTATTATAATCCGCAAACGTTAATATACTAACATTGTTTGTTAGTGTAAAGCTTCAAAATCTTTGCCAACAATTTAATTTTTGTTAAATAAAAACTATATTAACAAAGATTATCATAATAGTTAACAATTTCTTTTGTTGATAAATAAAATATTTATATCATCTATAACATTAACCTCACATCTATTCAAATATTACATTGCATTTTGTTATGAAAGAAGTTAATTATATGCTTTATTATCTTGATTTTAATTTTAAATATATTTATTTAGCTTACTATATAAGATGATTAATAGATTTAATAAAACAATTGATTACTGTATAAATTTATTGAATTTATTGTAATGTTTATAAGTGTGGAATGGGGCACTTGGTAAATTTGATATTTTTCAAAGGGTGGCTACAAACTTTAATCTCTCGGCCCTAGTTAAACAAAAACCAGCTTATACTCAACCTTGGCAAGCATAATCAATTTTCGCAAGTACAAAACAATCAATTATGAATGGAGAGTAACTCATAGCATAAACCGCCGAGTTACCTTCATAACAGTGGCGAAAACAATTATTGTTTTTAATAAGTCCGTTACATCTACTTGGATATAGTTCATTTCGCTAACCTTCAGTTAAAAGATAAAAGGTAGAAACTAATTAATTAAGGCATTCAAAAGGTTAAGAAAAACTGAAATTAAAAAACGTCGCTCCAATAGTAATGATTGATTTCTAGAGTCTAGGAAGCTGGTGAAGAGGCAAAATGATTATGATTTATCGCTTCAAATTTTTATTCAACTTTCAGGTCTATTGCTTGGAAGAAAACGGTAAACGTGTGGCACCCATGCATGCATGGTCAGGAAGCGCAATCTTATACACTGAGGTTGATCAAAATAGTAGCTACTGGAAACTTAGCATGCTTGTTGCTCATTCCCAACCAAATTGGTTGAATTGATAACTGATAGGAGCATTTTCTGAACTTAATTATGAGGTTATGTTGAAGGCCCTAAGTTTCATTTTATCTAGTAGCCATCATCTCCTAACTAGCCATTAATCAATTGTCTCTCTTAACGATGAGAAATTGTTTGGTGATCCGTGTTTATAATTTCAGCTAATTAGCTTATGAAATATGATAAAATTTTAACATTTTTTAATTGAAAAATTATATTGTTGGGACTATCATTAGGTGGGGATATTGAACCATCCAATATTTTTTTTTCTTGAGCACACCTTATCCGTTAAATTCAAGTAGATTGGAGAAATTAAAATCAATCCATTCACGGCTGAAATCAAAATTCTAATGTGAAGCTTAACAGTATATTCTGCACGTATTGTTAAAGCTACTGAAGCAGAACAAAACAATCTCAATATATGGATAACGGCGCCTTCAATTTTTAAATACATTATTTTTTATTCAATTAAGAAGAAAATAATAGTAGAACCGAATTCATGATTGGTCTAAAGCAAGCTTAGCTAGCACAGTTCTATTCGGCTACAGTAAATAGCAGATTAGTAGACCTAATCATCTTGCTTGTTTACAATGTGATAAAAGGGTCCTAAAATGATCAAAATATTCCTAATGCACTAGCCATCAAAGAACAAGAAGGGGCTGCAAAAACACAAGTATGAGAAAAATTCATGATAAAAGAAAAAGAATAATAAAAAGAGTTAATTTAATGTTTAATCCAACGGCTGAGATTGAACACAAAGAGATATAAACTGGCGATTAAATTGTATCTTGTAACTCTCACAAGCACACTCGTTAACCATTAAAACGCATTCACGCATAGAAGGCGGCGCGCACATTCTCCAAGTAATTAATTGCCACCTTTAGTTACAAATGATTCACTGTCATCATCTACATTCATATTCATAGTATTTCGTATATATTTTGCCACCTTCTTTCATATTCCACACTGTGCCTAAAATCCTTCCTCACTCTCCACACCTATTGTACTACTACAACATAGAGGAATCCTTTTACTACTACTTCTTCACCATCTTATCCTCTATTTTTATACGTGCCTTGAGCATGACCATGGAGCCTCAGCCACCTATGGGTTGGAGCTCTTACTATGACATAGATGAAAAGCCATTTCCATTTACATGCCAATTTTCTTTTAGGTAAACCATGACACTTGTGTTCTAATATGTACTTTCTCTCACACTTGCAGTGAAATGTTATTGTTACGACCAGGTTTTTATGTCATTGTTGGAATGTTTTTTCTCAGTGAAAACGGTGAAGGGTATCCTGCATTGGAATGGCATCAAGAATTGCCCATGCAAGATTGTTATCTTGATGGTGTCCCTCTCATGGAGTACTACCCTTCAGATCCTTTGTATGAAACTCTCGCCCTTGAACCAACACCAAGCGTCCAAGGTTATCAGCATATGAAACTCTCCCAAGTCTTTATATTTTTTTTACCGTTATATATGTTCCACTTGTCCTTATCTAGATATTGGTTATCATCTCAATGTTAATGCAGACTACGATTTTTATGATATTAAAAATGGGATTTCTGTATGGAACGAAGTAGATGCCGTGTTGGATTCAGAAAATGTTTATTTATTTTGCAACAAAGAAGAAAGGGAGAATAAGAAGGAAATAGGTCAAATAATGGAAGATGGGAAGGTTAACCGAGGCATAGAAGAGAGAGTTAACAATACCAGAACGTTATCAAAGACGACAATATCTAAGTACTTTTATATGCCTATAACACAAGCAGCCAGGGAACTTAACGTGGGCGTGACACTTTTGAAGAAAAGGTGTAGGGAGTTGGGAATTCGAAGGTGGCCCCATAGAAAGTTGATGAGCCTCCAAACTCTGATAAATAATGTACAGGTGCATAATGAATACATTTTATTTAAACATTGCTATTGTTTGTTATTTATGTTATGATATGGTGATAAGATTTGGGCTATTTTATGATTTTGGGCAACTGGGTGTGGCCTTGCAGGAGCTAGGGAAAGAGGATGGGCATGATAGTGAAGAGAAGTTAAGGAATGCGATTGAGATATTGGAGAAGGAAAAGAAGCTTATGGAGGAAATGCCAGATATTGAACTTGAAGATAATACAAAAAGGCTTAGACAAGCTTGTTTCAAGGCCAACTACAAGAAGAGGAAGCTCAAAGGGCAGAGGGAAACACAAGAGTGTTCTTCTTTCAGTGGCCGTGGTAGAACTATTGACACAAGTTATGATTATGATGAAGCACAAGACATCAAATCTCTATTGCCTGTCCCTCAATTAACATAATAATGGTCTACCTAGTTTCAGTTATAGCTGTAGTGTTTGGTGGTATCCACATTCTGTATTGAGCCTCACGCAAATTCATTGCCATGAAATGTTGAAATTGTGATCGGAAACAGTTCAATATATCTTTTAAAGTTGTCTAACTAGTGTATTTTGAGAATGCGGTATCCACATTCTGTATCTAATTTTTAATGAATTGTAATTGTATGAACAGTTGAACATATATATATGAAAAAGAAGGTAGGTGTCTGTTTCCTTTGAGAGAGAATGAATCAGTTGACCTTATTACCTTCAATTGAAACTTGACATGAACAAAAGCATTAGATGGTTCTGGTTGAGGGAAGCGTGGTAGTGCTGGAAAAGGTGGCTGTGGAAGAGGGTAATGTCTAGACATTGGATAAAGATTTGCTGTAATTAGTTGTTTATTAATATATACTTTATTATTCTTACTAAGTAGTGATATGTTGTAGAAAAATTGAGTAGAAATAGAATTATCCAATATTTCATGTATCTTGACTAACTTATTTCACGTTTTTTGTTGGTAACTCTAATTTTTATTTTTTCTTTTATATAGAATTATTCGACTGTTGTCTTTCGTATTATAGGATACTGAAAGCTTGTAAAATTGTGCAATTTTCATCTTAGCTCAGTAGGAAATAATGGATAAATTCTAATAATAAAATATTAACACCAAGATTATATAGGTTCAGCGAAGAGTTTGTCCAATAAATTACGAAATTAATTCAAATACGAATAACATTTTTAATGAATATTTGTAAAAAAACTGAAAATATATTTAACACATTCTTTATAATATATAAAGTAAAGCTGTGTTAAAATTTTCTGACTTGCTTAAACCGTTAAAAAGTATGAAGTTTGAAGAAGATGAGTTCAATTGAATTTTGGTCTAACTCATTTTGAATTGAAATTTAGCTGGTCGAAGGCAAGCAACTTGTGGTTGTGGTGGTTGTGGAGGATTGGCTCAGCTTGCTACTATTGATTTTTTTTTTTAAATAAAAATTATTTTAATTTTAATTTTAATTTATTTATTAACTTGGGTTAAATTTTAGGTTTGAATTCAACAAAAATAAGTCAATAATTAGGACCACTAGATCTTAAATTTAGAGATTTAGTCCAAAAAGAGAATTTTTTTCTTTTTAGTCTTTTGAAAATTTTAAGATAACAAATAATTTTTAAAACAAGTTAATGTTTAATGAACTGATATATATAGCTTGTGGTCCGCAAAGACTAGATTGGACTGGAAATTATTAATTTGGTTCCACTCTGATTCAAAATTTTCTTAACTGGTTAACCTACTTTTACTTGTTTAATAAAAATTAAAATTACAATTGTTTGAATATATTCTTGCATAATTCATTTTCAAAATTTGGATTGCGTTGAATTTTAATTGCTTTAGAACTTATACTTTCACGTCTTTGTGCATTGTAAATTTATTTATTTTATTAAATAATTTTGGTGTTTCTTTTGTAATTGTCTTTTGTTCTAACATAGCTTAGTTTTAGCAATTTTAATCAAATTCATCATTTTAAGGTTGAGTTCAAGAAGTGATTAATTTATAATATCAGCAATTAATTGAATCACAATGTATTCCTTGATACATAATTTTGTCAAATCTTAACTAAAATATTCCCATTTATACATATTTCATTTACTTCCTCCTGAAATTCTCATAAACCCATTATTTAACAGCTAAAAAAACTAACAAATAATAAATATAATTATAGTAATTAGTTGAAATAATTATTCACAATGTATTAAAAATTTAAATTAATCTTAAAATAAAAAAAATATATAAAATAAAGGGAGTATATGATTGAGACCGAGAGGGAAATAGGAAGAACGGGGATTTAATTTGTATTGCATTGAAAGGCATGAAGACGCTGTGGTTGTTGCTTCATTGCTTCACCTCTCATCCATGCAATGATTCATTCCATTCATCGTAAACATTAAACCTTTGACTCCAAATGCTTCTGCTTTGGTTCTCACGAAACATTTCCTCTTACCCTAACCGATCCCTTCTTTCTGCACCCAATCCACAATCTCCATCTCTTTCTCTCTCTTCCACCATTGCCATTCATCTCCTTCACTACAACACCGTTCCCTTACCACGTCCACACCACAAACAAATCCAACAAACAAACAAAGAACCCGTTATTTCTGCCATCAAATCTGTTTCCCGTAAGACCGATTTGCTCCAAATTCACGCTCACATTCTACTCTCAACCCTAATTCAAGACCCCGCAGTCTCTCTTCAGTTCTTGTCCCGTGTAGCTCTCTCTGGTCCATTGCAAGATGCCAACTATTCCCACCGTTTCTTTGAGCAACTCAACTACCCTTTGGCTTCCCATTACAACACTATGATCAGGGCCTATTCCATGAGCGATTCACCTCAAAAGGGTCTACTTTTATATCGAGATATGAGAAGACAAGGCATTTTTGCCAACCCTTTATCGTCTTCCTTTGCTGTTAAGTCCTGTATCAGGTTTCTGTATCTTCTTGGGGGGGTTCAGGTTCATTGCAACGTCTTCAAAGATGGGCACCAATCAGATACCCTTTTGCTCACCTCTGTTATGGATTTGTATTCACAATGCCAAAGAGGTGGTGATGCGTGTAAGGTGTTTGATGAAATGCCTCAGAGGGACACTGTTGCTTGGAATGTGATGATCTCTTGCTGTATTCGGAATAATCGAACCCGGGATGCTTTAAGTTTGTTTGATGTTATGCAGAGTTCGAGCTATAAATGTGTGCCTGATGATGTTACTTGTTTACTTCTTCTTCAGGCTTGTGCTCATTTGAATGCCTTGGAGTTTGGGGAACGAATTCATGGCTATATTATGGAACGGGGTTATGGGGGTGCTCTCAATTTGTCTAATTCTCTCGTATCTATGTATTCACGGTGTGGATGTTTAGATAAGGCTTATGAGGTGTTTAAGGGAACGGTGAATAAAAATGTGGTTTCATGGAGTGCAATGATCTCTGGTTTGGCAATGAATGGATATGGAAGAGAAGCTATTGAAGTATTTGAAGAGATGTTGAGAATTGGCTTTCGGCCTGATGATCAGACATTCACTGTTGTGCTTTCTGCTTGCAGTCATTCTGGATTGATCGATGAGGGAATGTCAGTTTTTGATCGTATGAGCAGAGAGTTTGGAATAACTCCCAATGTTCATCATTATGGGTGTATGGTTGATCTCTTTGGCCGTGCTGGCTTACTTGATAAGGCTTATGAGCTCGTTATATCAATGGTGGTAAAGCCAGATTCCACAGTATGGAGGACTTTGCTTGGGGCTTGCAGAATTCATGGTCATGTTACACTTGGTGAACGAGTGATTGGACATTTGATTGAATTGAAAGCTCAAGAAGCTGGGGATTATGTTTTGCTCCTAAATATTTATTCTTCAGCTGGACATTGGGAAAAGGTAGCTGAAGTGAGAAAACTAATGAAAGATAAAGCAATCCAAACCACACCTGGCTGTAGCACAATTGAATTGAAAGGAGTAGTACACGAGTTTGTCGTGGATGACGTTTCGCATTCAAGAAAAACTGAGATTTATGAGACACTGGATGAGATTAATAAGCAGCTAAAGATTGCTGGTTATGTTGTTGAACTTTCATCTGAGTTACATAAGATGGATGACAAAGAAAAGGGGTATGTGCTCTCTTATCACAGTGAAAAACTGGCAATTGCATTTGGGGTTCTTGCTACTCCACCTGGTACAAGACTGAGAGTGGCCAGCAATCTCCGTATATGTGTTGATTGCCACAATTTTCTGAAACTCTTTTCCGGGGTTTACAATCGTGATGTAATTCTTAGGGACCATAATCGATTTCACCACTTTAGGGGAGGGCACTGCTCATGTAGCGACTATTGGTAGGGATATATGGGCTAGTGATAGAGATACGTGTCAAATCAATTACCGAGTGTTAATGAAATGATTGTCAAGAGCCACTACAAATGGACATAGCTCCCTTTACGGCGGGTTTATCATAGAACCTTGGTGAATATTGCTTAATTGAAATGCAGCCATAGCTACTAAAGGCGGTTTTAAATTGTATTTCAAGCTGTTGGGTGAAAGCTAACCATTGCCTTTATTCAAGTCTATTATTTCATAGCACCAATGCACCAGTTAGTCTGTAACAAATGGTCTTAGCTGACTCAGTCTGAATGTTCAAGGTAGATCCTGCAGAAAGCACAGTATAGAACACCTGCCAAACACCAATTGCCTGAATGCTAAACATGAAACCTGCTATCTGAGAAAGTTGGTGTTGCTTTTTTTTTAGAAAAATTTTGTAGTGAAGGAGGGCTATTTTTGGATTAGTACAAAAATAGTGATTAGTGTCATTTGACCCGAGACATGGAAGGTTCGTCCTCTAGAACTTATTGAATTTGTTTGAAAAGTGTCGTTCCGCGTATACTGACTATACTGAGCATCAGCAATAACCCATTTTTGTGGAGTCAATGCATTATTAAGGAAACAGCAACAATGCATTGTTGTAATGCCAAATGATTTTCTATGCATTTGATTCAGAGAACATCTGTCAGTTTTTTTTTTCCCCATTAAATCATTCTCACCATTCTGGCTTGTGGCTAAAAATATATCACAATCTATTTAATTCTAAATCGACGAGATGCTTCGAGCATAGCAAATATATTACAGGAGCCACGTCGCTGTAGTTGAGTAACAACTGCAGATAATTTTGAGCCCTTAAAACACCTCGTTGTGCAGTTATTTTCAAACTGAAGACTTTTCTAAGTGCAGACCATTTGCATCCATCTATTAAAGTGTCCATTGATCTAGCGTTGATGACTAAAGCGTATCGCAAGTTCAATCAGGCAAGCACAGTTAATTAAAATCTGCGCGTGTAAAGGAAAACGTGCGTAGATTGTAGAAGATTCAACAACATAATTGTTAGAACTGGTATCCGTCTCAGAAATTGGGGCCTCTACCTAACAAGAAAAAAAAAAGCAAAAAAAAAACTGGTTCAATGGCCATATTATTCAAAAAGTAAAGTTTACATTTTCCAATTCTACATTATAACGATAACATCTTTGGAGATTTCTGATCAAAACCTAACCTCGGTATCTAGAACAGAAATGAAAGCTCCCTCCCGTTCTGCTAACAAAACTGGAAATAGAATTGACACTACAGAAAATTTGAATCCTAAGTTCTGGAAGCAGTTATGAGGCTACAATAAATCCGCAAACTAAATTCTCTAAAGTAGTATTTATGCTTAAGTAAATGCATAATCCGAGAAACCACCCAATGACAAAGAAAGTTAAGCAGCAACAGCTTGCTTCTGAGCAAAAGCAATCCCCTTCTCTATGCTGGCCTTAAGTTCTGGCTTAAGTGCTTCCAAAGCCTTCTGTTCATAGTCAGTCAACCCTTGGAGATCAGATGGAATTAAAGCCTCAACTCCTTTCTTACCAAGCTTCACCCTCGAAGCGAAAAACGGAAGGTCAGTAAGATCTGATTGCACAAATGAGCACTCGTACACATCCCCATCTCCATCAAGCGCACGAAGAGAGGATTCAACAAATCTAGCTGCTGCATATGCCATTGACAAAGTAGCAGACCCTGCACCAGCCTTTGCTTCAACAACTTCAGTTCCTGCGTTTTGAATCCTTACAGTTAGCTCCTCAACTTCTTCATCAGTGAAACTTACTGAGGGCCTCGTCTTTGACAACAGAGGAAGAATGGTAATCCCAGCATGGCCCCCAACAACAGGGACATCAACATCAATCAGCTTCAGATTCTTCCTCTGAGCAACAAACGTGTTTGCCCTCACAACATCCAGCGTAGTAACGCCAAAGAGCTTTTTAGGATCATAGACACCCTTTTGTTTCAGAACCTCTGCTGCAATAGGCACAGTAGAGTTTACAGGGTTACTGATAATGTGAATAAAAGCATCAGGACAATTGTCCGCAACAGCCGAAACCAAGTCCCTGACTATGCCAGCATTGATGTTGAAAAGGTCATCACGAGTCATGCCAGGCTTCCTTGGAACACCAGCAGGTATAACAACAACATCCACCCCTTTCAAACAACTTGCTAACTCAGAAGCTCCTGTGAAATCCTTGACTAGTGAGGGTGTGTTGCAATGACTGAGATCAGCAGCAACTCCCTTAACATTCGCAATATCATAGAGATGCAGGTCGGAAACTAATGGGGACATCTTGATAAGAAGCGCTAGCGGCTGACCAATCCCTCCAGCAGCACCAAGAACTGCCACTTTAAAGGAAGCCTGAGGCTGCAAGTGGTGCTGGAAGTTCTGGTTTTCCTTTCGAGCTCTGGAGGCAAAAGATGCCCGCAAAGCAGCACCGGTTTCCTTGCCAAAGAACGAAAATTCCGAATCACATCTCACAGATGACATGGCCTTGAGGCCACAGAAGCTCTTCAAATGATTCTGTGAGTTGAACTTCAACCCAAAAGGCTTTGATTGATAAAGTGAGCCCCCTCTTTGGCCGATGGAAGCAGTGATTCCAATTGTGAAGGTAGCTGCCGGTGCCGCCGCCGCCGCCATCTCAACCTGTCTCTGTGGTACAAATATGGAATCAGTTTAATTCCAATAACACACACAGATTCACAGAAACATATTTGAAAGCCAAAAAAGGCACCAAACACAGATTCATTTTGCTATACTAAGCTCAAAAGATAATTTAATCAAACCAATTAAACAAAGCTGGAACCTACATAGGGCAATATTGCATCTAAATAACGAAACACTAGCATATCAGTACAGAACAAAAAACCTAATCATATCACACACTGAAAGAGGTAAAACTTACATGCTTGATTGAGATTAATTTATGAGAATGAAAATTGCAATATAAAGAAAAGAGCATTTGAAAAGAAAAACAGATCTAGAAGGAGAACCTTGAGAAATTGAAAAGAATTGGGGAGAGGAATGAGATCTGCGATAAGGAAAGAGTAGGAAATTGCGAAGGTACCCGAGAATGAGAATGGGAATGGGAGAGAGAGAGAGAGAGAGATTTAAGAAACCAAGTTGGGTTTGAAATCTCCGCTATGAGATACGTCGTGAACGAGTGCAAACACAAAACACTTGCCGATTCCTAAATATATATACCCCACAAGACAACCCTTACCAAACGCAAAACAGAATAATAATCTCTACTCATAAAATGCTTCTCACTCTCATGCCACGTCAAACCCTTCTTATAAATTTATTTATGTCTAAATGCATCCTAATCATTTTTTATTATTTCCTTTTCTTCTCCCTCTTTTTCCATTTTAACATTAACCTTTTTACCTTTTTTTTCTCCCTTTTGGACTTAAACTGATTAAACGTGAGAACCCTGTCATTTTGACAAATGAGAATTTTTTTAGGTATAATCGGCTATATTTCGGGTCTTATGCGATGGATAATGGCTGAATCTATCTATATTTATCGGTAAGATTTCTTTTAAATAAAGTAATTACAAATATCATTAAATTAATGCATAATTATAAATTATACATGTGTTTGTGGACATAAAACTTTTCTATTATGTGATGAAATTTAAATAATAAATAAAAGTAACCATATATCAGATACTAAAAATATAATTATATATTAGCCCATACTATATATTGATACAAAAGATAATACATAACTTTATCAAATAACTTTCTACATTTTAATTATTTGTTTAAAAATTAAATTTATTAAGTAAATTATTCAAAATATAATAACTTTCTAATGTGGAATGACGAAATATCTGAAAAATTAATCAGTAATTGAATCAGTGAAAAAAACTGATGGAGCTTAATTTGACATTCCCTTATCATAAGTGTCTAAGGCTTATTTTTCAAAGTGTGTCTTTTTTCTTATTATAAAACCTGAATTGTCGACGCAAGTTTAAGTTAAATTAATAATATTTTCAAGTCGCATTGTATGAGCTATGAAGAGAGGTGTCTTATTATTTCTTAGAGGGCTTGGCCCACAACTCTACGTAATTATGCTTAACTAATATTCATTTTTATGACAAATTGTATGAGAAAATGAAAATTTAGATGTCTGATAAGTGGCTGATGGATCGGCCACGTGGAAACTTAACTATTTTCATTCACTGAAAACTTTTACCCACACTTTATTACTTTGAATCCTTTACGTAACATTGTCTTCACTTTTGAGGAATGATTACTGACCAAAGTAACTACGCACATACGTAAGATACAAATAAAACAAATTACTAAATCAAATCAAAATCAATGCGAAGGACTCTTGACATAAATATCTAACGAAATAGTTAAGCAAATCATATACATGATAATTTCTGAACCTGGAAAGTTAATTTCATCTTCCTCCTTGTCCATTTGGTTTGTCAATAATAATATTAAAAAAAACACATTGCATGGTCAATGATACTAAATTAATGAAATCTTAAGCACTAGTGTACCAAGTAAAAACTTTGGCCCTTGAACACAACCAAGAGGTAAGGGCTGAAATATATAAAATTCGGAAAAGCAGGCTTTGAGTGCAATTGTAAATCTCATTACATCATTGGAATGGATGCCATTAACCATAATATCAATTCAGTTTCTTTCAATCCTTTTATTTATGATAAAATGGGGGCTATCAAACTCCATCACATTTGCTCGATAATCACAACCGGGTAAAAATTAAAAGCAGAATCATTTGTTGAGACACATCTTTCTCAGTTCCTTATTTTCCACTTTTGCTGGTCTATCTATATACGCAATGCTCCTATTACCATCACAATATTTGGTTTGTCAGTTGAAACATAGCAATACACTTAACACGTATACATTCAATTTGGAATAAATTAAGCCACTACACGAGTCATTTACACCCCCAGCTTTGCTTCAATCGTTGTGAAGGTCAAGCCTAATGGCCACTATGGGATTGCATGAATCTGAGCCGTTTGCTTACACAGATATAATTATCACTTAATTATAAGGAGATCATGTCTACTAGGAAATACACAATGCAAAAATGAATGATAAAATATGAGTCAGACAGATAATATGGTCATACATTAAGTTTGTTCATCTCCTTCCTTATGGCATTGGCCCTCACTAAGCTACCAATGGTGTTAATAGCCAACTTGAGATCCTCAAGAGGATTGCCAGGTACCACTGTCTTGTACAAATAGCTATCAAAGGTCATCTTCTGCACATACTCATCAGCACACATCTCCACAAACGCTTCCCTCGCAGGGTTGGACCTATAAAATACCTTCTGAAGCACATCCAAGACCTTGTAAGTGGGCCAATAAGTCTTGTCCCACTTCTCCAAGTACTTCCTCAAGTCCCCTTCTTCCACCATCCTCTTCCCATTCTCTGACCCTTCAACAATTGCCTCTGCACACATCCTCCCACTCTTGGCTGCAAAATAGATACCCTCTCCAGAGCATTTGGTCACATAGCCAGCAGCATCACCCACCAAGGCTACTCTCCCCGACAACCTTCGTGGTCGAGGATGTTCCGGAATAGGGTGAGCCTCCACTCGGATGATTTTGCCCCCCAAAATCTTGTCCTCAGCTCTTTTCCTTGTTGCTAGTTGGAACTTCTTGATGTCCCCTTTGTGTGTCACAGTGCCAGTGCCAACAGCCACATGATCACACTTTGGAAACACCCATCCATAGAAATCCGGAGAAACATCATCTCCCACGTACATCTCCGCAAGGTTCTCGTAATACACCATTTTATCATCCGGAATTTTTATTCTCTCCTGAGAAACCATGCAATTAAAATGAAACATGCCAGTATTACCTTTCCACAATCATAATACCACTCACACAAAAACACCACTTTGAATGTTGAAACACCCATATAAACTACATTTTCTGATATTCTGCATCAAAAGCCTACAGCTTTTCAAATAAAGAAAGAAATTATTAACTTTCAAGAAATTCCCAACACCCCAGTGAAAGAAAAGTGTAAATAAGTAAAACACTTATTTAATTCTTAAAATTAATATCACTAATTAATTTGGTTCTTTCCTTCATCACATTAAAATCTAGACAATTTGGTCCATAACTTCAACGTGTATCACTTTAAATTGAGTATACAATTCCCAAATTCAGAGACTAAATTGACTTCATGATAAATGTAAATGAGGGAATTGAGGAGTATATTTATACTTGAAGAAGATGAATATACCTGAAAAGCAATGGCATAGTCGTATTCACCAGCATCAATAGACTTGGCTACTCTAGAATTAGCCCCATCAGCACCAATGACAGCATCAACTTCCAACGTGCGCTTCTCCCCAACCCCACCGGTTTTCCCATCATAGCAAGAGTAATGCAACACGTAAGGGGAATTCATATCCTTAGGCATATCCATTTTCAAGAACAACCCATTTATGATATTCGCACCGTTTTCCTTTGCACGGTCCCTGAGGTAAGAGTCCAGCACCTCACGCCGAACCATCCCTATATACTCATGAGGCTTAAGGGTCCTCCCAATGTCCACCGCCACGTTCGACGGCGATATCATCTTCATCTTCGTCACGCGTCGGTCAATGATGTCCAATGGCAGGTCAAACTCTCCCACCATGCACAACGGAATCGCTCCACCGCATGGCTTGCAGTTGTCCATCTTCCGTTCGATCAGGAACGTCTCGATGCCGCCCATCGCCAGCGTCTCCGCCGCGGATCCTCCGGCCGGACCTCCTCCTACCACCGCGACGCGAAGGTTTCGGCCCTGGAGCTTGGGGCTGGATTTTCCGGCGATGACCTTGAACTTGCGGTGGAAAGTGAGGGGCTTTGGCTGGGCGGCGAAATGTGGGGTTTCCGGCGAGGATTGGCGGAGTCCGACGAAGGATTTGAAGGCGATGGAGTTCATGGTGGCGAGTGAGTAAGTGACTGAAAGTGAGAGTGTTGAAGTTTTATGTGTGTATGTTTCATGGTGGATATGGTTTGGGATTTTGAAGGGGTTTGTGGCCGTTGGATGGATGCGATTGACGGTGGTGATTTGATGAGGATAGATTTTGGGATGATGAAGGGGATGGGAAGTGTTGTTTGTACTTACTTGGAGTTGGGTGCTCTAGTTTGTTTTTTGAGTGGCTGCCATGCTGCCACGTGGTGCTTAAAGTGGTTGATCTTTAATGGTTTCCTTACTTTACCCTCCATTCATACAATCAAATTTTGACACGTCAGTGGAATGGCAGACACAGCTCACGTGATCTTTTAATGTCACGTCACGTGCAAGATCTTCTAATGACACGTCTGGTCATGTTTGAGTCCCATTTCAGTTTAATCAACCATGCAAAAATATAATATTAATGCAAACTTTCAACGATTGTATTAGTAATTACACAGTACTTGAAAAGGAGAATAAATTTAAGATTAATGAAATTGTCATTGTAGAAATAAAAAATAGTAGGAGGGGATTTGGACACATAATCTATTATATACATCATAAATTCAACCTTTATTAACGTGTTTAAATAATCTAAATTCTACCAATTATGTCAAACTTGGATCGTAACGTGGAATATAATTTGAAAACAAGCGTTTTATGAAGATTGATTTGTATTCTCTTAAAACATACAAATTTAAACATTGAATTATAAATTTTAAGATTAAAATTAAGAAGTACATGTATCATATAATTTAATGTAAATCATATCAAAATTGAATAAATTTGACAATTATCGAATTTTAAAATAGTTATAAATTTAAAATATTATATATCACAAATGAAATTCTTATAATTTTTAAATATGCTTAATTTACACTAAATTTTTTTTATTATTGTGATAAAAAAATTATTTTAACATTATTTTTAATGCATGCTTAAGAGTATATAATGAAAATTTACGTATAATAATACTTTATTAAAAAATATAAGATATTATATATTTTTTAATACATTAATAACATAAAATATTGTTTTTTAAAAAATAACAACTGATTATTATTTTAATATTCAAGCTCTTCTCAATCAAATATTTGAGGGGCTGGTTCATTAAAACATGCAGGAGGAGTGTAGAACAAGTTTCTTGAAACCTTTGATCCATGCCTTTCAGGAAATAGCATTGCTGGAGTTTTGGGACAACATTTGGTTTTCCGGTTTGGTGAACTTACCATTACAATTTTACAAATTGCAATGCACTCCAAAGACATTCAACGTGTTTGTTGAGAATTCAATTTGAAGGGTCATCCCATATTCTCCGATTCTTAATTCACATTTCTTAGAATGAGAGTTCAGGCTGCATCATGAACAAACTCTAGACTTTACCATTCATTTGTGACTTTACTCTCTAAGTTGTAACAAAGTATATGGGTAGTTGCAGCCGTTTTGAATCACTAAAAGTTGGTATATCAAACCATCTACTTCCCACTTTTGCAAAATTCCATTTGTTGCCAAACTTTAGCACAATCTCATCACTCTAAAATTTTGATATTCCTAGCAGCAAGCTAATATAAAAAACCCAACAACCTAAGTGCTTAACGGCCATAGAGAGCGTAGAGGCATAGGTTGCTAGACAAACATGAAGTTCAATCTTGCGCTAGTTAGTTTAGTAACTACAATTTTGGGCATTGGGCTTGAAGGATGCCATTGCAAAGTTGTGCAGTACATTTTTGGAGACTCCCTCTCGGATGTTGGAAATAACATGCATCTCTCTAGAAGCCTTGCTCAAGCAAGCTTGCCTTGGTATGGTATAGACATGGGTAATGGGTTACCTAATGGAAGGTTCACTAATGGTCGCACAGTCGCTGACATAATAGGTAATTTTCACCTTTTTAGCATACATCTTTTAGTTGTGTGTGTATAAATATATTTCAAAATTACACCCCCCCGTAAAAAAAAAAGTCAAGTCCATAATATTACTGATGTTATATATTTTCAGGTGACAAATTGGGCCTCCCTAGGCCCCCTGCGTTTCTAGACCCATCATTAAGTGAAGAAGTTATACTAGAAAATGGTGTGAACTATGCTTCCGGTGGAGGTGGCATCTTGAATGAAACTGGCGCCTATTTTGTGAGTTGAGAGTGTCAAATTTCATTTACTATGTATGTGTCTTATAGCTTTTATATATGCAAGCATAGCAAGACAATGATATATGTTTTGGATAAAAAATTATGCCTCTTGCAGATCCAAAGGTTTTCTTTAGACAAACAAATTGAGCTGTTTCAGGGGACACAAAAACTAATTAGAGGCAAAATTGGAAAAAGGGAAGCAGACAAGTTTTTCCAGGAAGCTAATTATGTTGTTGCTTTGGGGAGCAATGACTTCATAAACAACTACTTGATGCCTGTTTACAGGGACTCATGGACATACAATGATGAAACCTTCATGGACTACTTGATAGGAACATTACAAAGACAACTGAAGGTTTATTTAGTTCATATTCATAACAACAATTTTTTTCTTGTTCTTCTTTTAGTTTTGCATCTAATAATAATAAACTTTTCAATTATGCTGTGTTTGTGTTTAGTTACTTCATAGTTTGGGTGCAAGACAACTGGTGGTTTTTGGATTGGGTCCAATGGGCTGCATTCCCCTTCAAAGGGTGCTTAGTACAACTGGGAATTGTCGAGAAAAAGCAAACAAGCTGGCTCTTAACTTTAACAAAGCTGCAAGCAAGTTAGTAGATGACTTGGTGAAGCATCTTCCTCATTCAAGATATAGATTTGGAGATGCATATGATGTTGTTAATGATGTAATCAGTAATCCAATGAAGTATGGTAAGTAAATGGTTACTCTTCTTACTAATCGGATGCATACACCAATGGAAATTATCTAAGTGAACCTGATGCATATTATGTCTGAAACACTTAGAAAGAATGAAAGCATGGTGCAGTCAGCACATAGCATCCAAAAATAATTGGATTTAGTGTATGTTTGAAAACACGTTAAAAAACATGTAAGCACGGATAAAAGCAGAAGCTATGGCCAGTAGTGTTGAAATAAACGTGGATCCATATGTATTTGAAAGTGAAACCAAACACACTATTACTTTTTGAAGAATTGCCAACATTTCATACATGATCAAAAATTGAAAATTTGTGCTAGCTTGCGTGCTTACTGCTGAGAGTTATTTACATTGTAATTACATATGCTTTGTAGGATTCCAAAACTCAGACTCCCCCTGTTGTTCCTTTTGGAATATTCGACCTGCCCTTACATGCGTACCTGCATCAAGTCTGTGCAAAGATAGAAGCAAATATGTATTTTGGGATGAGTACCACCCCACAGACAGTGCTAATGAGCTCATTGCAAATGAGCTCATCAAGAAATTTGGATTTTTACAAGCTGATCAAGGGGGTGCTCCTTCACCAGCTCCTGCTGTTGCTCCATCCCCAGAAGGCTAATTATTCAAGGTTTTGTTGTCTAACGCTGGAAATGGAATTGCTCATTATTTGTGGAAGCAAGTATCTTCATGTTTCATGAACAGCCAGTTATACATAATTTCTTTTTATGGTTTGAGCGTGCCTTAATAATCAGTTATACATAATTTCTTGTTAGAAAACAAGAAAGAAACTGCTATTTCTTTTCATTCTACATCACATACGTAATGTAACCCAACAGTTAAGTGTGTATTACTTTATTTTCTTCTTCAAATTAGGCTACATAAGTACCTTGTTCATGTTCAATAAATTGTTTTTTTAACTGATCATTCTCAGATCCCAGCAGGATAGCAGTCATTTAACTTTTTTTATTGCCTTCTAGAAATTTCTTATCTTTTAGCCTCAAGAACAGATTGGTTGCATACCAGATCAACTCTCTCCGCTACATTCCTAATCAAAGAATGTTCAATTGCTCAATACAGCTAAGTTGCAGTCTGACAGTAATTATGCATAGTAGACTGAACTTCTGATAAGGATGAAATGCCAAAGGGGTTTTCCCTGAAAAGAATTAGAGCTAAGGGATACATTTATAAAGAAAAACTTACTAGCACCCTCATGTATATTAATTTCTTTAACACAAAAAGATTGCATATTTGCAGTACACAAAAATTAAATGTTAATCATGATTACTTTACTGCCACTCCCCCTCAAATTAAGCTTTACCTTGCAAAAGATTGTGTCTATCTGAGACTTCACCATTATCAACTGAACAAGAAGGGGCCAAAGAAAGAGAGATAGAAAAATTCTAAAGGCTGAAAAAGTTAAACTAAACTTCCTTAAAGCAAAACCTGAGTTGGAAGCTTAACAAAGTGTAAAGGAATCATGACTGCTAAAGATGTGTTGAATAAGAAATAGTGCAAGTGTCCAAAACCTTACATTAGCCTGATCAGTGATAAGGAAATTTTAACTGATGTTAATGTGTTACCCTTATGTCATTAATATATAGTATCTTAACTCATTTGGCACTTAACTGAGCCGCGTTCTAAAGCACCTAATTTGAAAACGTGTGAGTATAGGAGCAACTCTTTTGAGGACAAAAGGTTCTATAGGTTGGCAAGCTTTTAGTTATTATGGAAATTAATCTGCTAGCTTTTGTTTTAGATGAAAGACCTAAATGGATTATAAAAAATACAGCACCCAGTTTATAAAAAGAGAAATTAACTCACAACTTTAACGTGGACCTGTTTCATATATTAATCACATATTTTATTGCAAAAAGATTATGTATATATCTACATTAAAATATGATCTCTAAAAGACGTCCTGTTATAGGTTTACACTTGAATGCTACGTCCAAGACTTCCAATTTTCTTTAAGCGTTACTTTATGCATCTCAATAATATTAAAATCAAATTTTCATACTTACGTGCAATGTACAAATACGAGTTTCTGATCTTATGTGCTTCTAAGAATTCCACTAACTTCATATGCTATGATGAAGATTATTATATTGACCTTAAACTTTTCCAAGAGATGTTTGAGAAAAGGCGTGTAGGAGAGTGGTAGACAAAAATATGTAATCAACAGTACACATCACTTTCTCCGCTGAACAAAAAACAAATAATGTTAAATATGCTATATAATCTACCCTTTAAGTGTACTTAGTGGCCAACTAACTATGATTACATAAATTAAACAATCATTTTGGATTTGTTCCTCTTTCACTTTCCAAGAACATGGTTATGCAACCTCTATCAACTTGCAGTGGGTGGACAAATGGTACTTCACTTTTAAATCTCCATATTTTTTTTGGACAAAAGAAAGGCCAAATGAAAGGCTATTTGTCAGTTTAATTCTAAATGCATCCCCATCTTGTAAGTTGTAAGCCACTATACATATTAACCTTTGTTTATTGGCTTTTCAGTTCTAAAACCCTTTTGTTAAGAACTTTTTAAAGCAAAGATGTCCAGTTTTATTAAGTTTACAAGTGTTTGAAGTTAAATGAAAGAGTTTGTAAAAATGTTACGTGCATAGATTGATTTTAACTTTTCAATAGGTTTAATTCAATTTATCAAGTTAATTATTTTCTTTTTATTATTCTATAAGTATTTGTTGATAAATTTATTCAAACTAGCTCTTAATAAATAATGAAGTGGAGGATTGCTGGCACCATGAAGGACCTGTTTCTCAGCTTCTAAGTTACTTTAGTTACATGCACCACGCATGTAGTGTGGTTTTACCAAAAATTAATAATAAATAAAATCTGACTATGGCTGTTAGTGGTAGATTTTCTTTCCACATAGATCCATTAGTGGTTGATTTGGTTTGTTTTCGATATGAATTCTTTGAGAGAGATTTCTGCACACAAAATAACCTGACTTCAGTTTGGATTTTGGAAGGTAGAAGCGATGAAATATCATTTCTATACACAGAGCACAAATGAGTGGTAATGCTATTAGTTCAATAAAGTACAATTTAAATTCCAGTGCTTATGAATATACAAAGCATAACTTAACTAGCATGAGTGCCCCAGTTCTCATATAATGGAGATAAAATTGTACAAATCTAGTTAGTCCTTTCTCTCATCATGCATAACTGCCTCTAGAATTCACCACTTATGCTACTTATAAAAGATTGTATTACATAGAGGGCACCTTCTAGCAACCTAAAGGAACTATCATTCCCCACACTATGGTGCTCTTGGAGTGTGACGACCATTAGGCCCTGATGGGGAATAATCATGGAGTTCCAAATCCACCCTCTCAGTTATAGTTGGCTCCTCCCATTGCCAGTTTTTCTCAGTGATAATAACCTGTATTTCATGAATACATGGAATATATGATCATTGACTAGATATATAGTTTAAAAAATGCATTATGTGTCTTAAGCAACTAAGGAATGGTCTTAGGGAGTGAAAGTGCACCCACCTTGTGGCTACTCTCCGGACTAAGGTGAACTTTGGAGCTTTGCATGATGTTTTCAGTTCCTGTTTATATAAACAAGCCATTCTTAAGAAGACTAAGATGAAGAAGAAGTACTACAATTCTACTTGAAATATAAAAGAGATAGAAAGATTATAGTGGAATTTACTTGTAAAAGGAACTGCTCTCAAGCATAAAAGGTGAGAAAGCACAAGAAGAATCATGAATAAACGAAAGAGAGTGCTTCCCATTCTTTGATATATTATAGACTTCAACAACTAGCTAGCTCTTGGCTGTGTTGCTTCCCAGATACTACTTCTCAATTTATACATGCACATAAGATTTTTCTGGATGTTTATTTAACATTGAAAATCGATGGTGGAGGAGCAATCATGTTGCCAAGGTCATAAAGGTGATAGCAACCCATCATTTCTTGGGGGGAACAACGTGTTTCCACTCTTTGGAAAGCTTTTATTAGCTTGTGGCCTTTTCTTGTGTGTGTGAAAACCCAAAGTCAGTATTGGGGTGCAGAGAATTGTTAGGTGGAAATCAGAGTTATATTTTAAGTCAATATGGAGCACACTATGCAAGTGGAAAGATGACAAAGAAACGTTTGTGAAGCAAAACATAAACTGGTATATTAATCGAAGTCAAAGGCTAGTGGGAAATGCCATTAAATTTTAAGAACATCCTATAGGCAATATGTGGATGGTGTAGAAACAGTCAAGATAGGTACACATTCGAGTCCATGTAACTCACAAAAAGGGCAATAGCACTTCCATATGAGCCTCAATTTCTTAGGTGGTAGGCACTAAATGTGGTAGCAATTATCCATGTTTGGCAGGGTTTAATTTTTATCGTATACAAAGTTTCTAAATGATAGGTATTTTCTGGGTCCTTAAAATGTGTAACACACGTATAGGTAGTTATACACACACATACATAATACACCTTCGTATGGCCAAAGTCTGATTATAGTGTAATAGTCAAAATTATTAGTTGTTCTACCTCTGCCTAGTGCATGAACATCTTTTGCAAGCAGTGGAAATCATCATAATCAACAAAGAAAATAGCTCAAATGTCCTGAGCAGCCAAGCCCATGTATGTTATTGCTAGTGGGAACAACAATTTTCTCCACTACTATCTGCAGATCACACAAAAGTCTAAGCCGCTACACATTGAATGGAAGCTATGTCATTGTAGAGTAGAGTATTATACCAAGCTTAATGGAGGATAGTACTTACATGCAACTTACTAACAAAGGTTCATCAAGTACAAAACTTTTAGCAGTATTCAATCTTTTATAAAGGGAAGATTCTTGATTGGGTAGTTTTGCTTAATTACTTGTTCTCTCTGCTCAGTGATCATCGAGAATTTCCCGAAAGTTAAGTTCTACTGTTTCTTCCAAAAGGTTATAGCATATATAAACCAGCAATCTAAAGTATTTTGCAGTGACTTTGTTTTTTCTACACTGTCTTGTTAATTAAATTACATTATTCAACATCCAAATCCAAATTAATTAATACAACTGTCTTTCTATTATTTTTATCACCGTCACAGTGTGGACTAGGATTATGACTTTTCATCGTCCAAGTCCAAATTAACTAATCCAACTCACCGTGTGATGGAACTTTCACTTTTAAAGTGAAACATTTAAACTTCAGAGTGAATGCACAAATTGGCTTTTAAAAATTACATTAAATTTTAAATTCATCTTCTTATAATTTTATCATTAACTTAATTGTTAAAAAGTTTAAATAAGTATCAACGAACATTTCATACATTATACAAGTATTTTATAATTTAAATAATAAATCTATAAATATTTAAATTATGAGATATATGTACGTAAATTGGGATCAAAATTAACTCTTGAAATTATCCCACTTAATAACTCTTTATAAATATTGAATTTTGCAAATTCAAACGTTAAATTAATAGTTTTTCAATAAATGAAGTTTACAGAAAAATTATACAAATACAAAACTAATTAATAGCTCATGAAATAATTATATTTTAATATTTAATATATATAATATATTTTTAGAATATAAATAATTATTAATTATAAAAATAAATATTTATAAATAAATATAATAAGCAATTTAATTTAGGAGTAAAAGAGTAAGGTTTTAAAATAATAAGAATATAAGTAAAGGTGAGTTGAGACAATAGGATTTTTTAACATGAAATGCAAAATATCAAAACGTGTCGAAACCATTTTTAAACATGTTGAAATCAACAATGAAATAAAGGTATAATATAATTCAAAGGATGGAAGAAGAAAGATTTTAACTAAGGTACCCCTTGTTTTATTTGCACGGAGAGAGATACGAAATTAAATTGATTTATTATTATATTTTCATTATACACAAATAAAAAGAGAGGCAAAATGAAACACCGTAAAGAAGAGGTAATTCATAAATTAATTTATTCCAAATTCTTCAATATTAAAAGAAGGATAAAAATGAAAAAAGAAAGTGACACGTGTACTTGCAGCAACATAGCCCTTTACCCCTTCAAATTATGGCCAAGATTTGGGCCTCACAACTATAAAAGATCATCAATGGACACTGGCTGGCTGGGCCATACATACAGGTTGGGCAGTTTATGTAGCCCATGGTACTTAACATTTGTCTGAAAATTTTATATAAAAAGAAGAAGCTTTATAAACTTTTTAAAACCTTTCTAATTATATATTTTTAAATCTTTTTAATTTGTAGTTTTGTATTAAATTCTCATTCTTTCTCTTTATATATTTTTTCCTTTATCTTTTAAACACTTTCTTCCCTTCACTTTTTAAACTTTCGATTTCTAGATTTGAGCTTAACACAATAATTTCTTAAATTAGTTATAGCACTTGTAATGTATTATTTTTTTTATACAATCCAAAATGTCTAAGAAAACAAAATTAGTTTGTGAAAACGAGAATTAGATAAGGTGGTATGCCAATATGCTTGATAACCCTTTAATTGATGAGTAGATCACTTGCTACCCACTTTATGATTTTGGCAGAAGTTATGAGAGTTACTTTCACCCAAACCATGCTCATAGATTTTTCAGAAGTACATACGATAACTATATGAATAAGGTTAGGTTTTTTTTTCAAATTGCACTTCGACCCGTTATAATTTCATAGACGAAAATTTTTGTATGGTATTGTTAATTTTTAAAATTTTAGAAAATCGAGTTTCATCAACTAAACATGATAACATATAATAACGAAATGTGTGATAAAATAATGCATATGCAAAATTTAACTTGATTCAATAACTTAATTACATGATTATGCTTGTGGGGAGCTCCTTTTTCATTCTTGTGCAAGGAGATACAGTTTTTAACCATAGGGAGAGAACGGAATTTATAACCCTTTTTCGAAAACTTGCACCAAATCACTCTCTATTTAAGAACCTTTTATGTTTATGTTTATATATATACGATGAACTGTCTTCATATTTGCTGGATGTTGTTAACATGTAAGAATTTTTCAGTTAATATGTTCAACTAAGGTCTACATATTAGCCTATCAAGAATATCTCTTTACGTTAGATAACTTATAAATCTAAGACTTTGTTTAGTAGTTTTGGGTCAATTTTATTTTCGAAAAATTGGTGTTGAAGGAATAGATTTGGAAAATATATTAAAAATAATTTAAATTTAAGAATAATATATTGAAAGTAAATTGAAAATAATAATTCTAGTTACTTGGAAAAATAAAATGTTTTTGAAATCGAAATATGGTCAAGTATAAGTTAAGTAAAATGAAAAAGATATTTCACATTGTTTAATACTAAAGAAAGTGATTAATATATAAGAGATAGTGTTTCACCTCAAAGTTTTAGGTGAATGTAATGACGTAAAGTATGATGATTTACTTTATTTATTTTAATCAAATATAACCTAACAACAAACAAATTTTTTATTAAGTTGAATGGTTGAGCCTAATGGGTTGCAAATTAAAGGACATTAAACCTTAAACCAAGTTAATTATCACTTAGTTTTTTTTATGGCATTATCAATATTTATATATATAAAAAAAAGACGATTCAACTTTTAAGATGTATAAAACATATTTTCTTTTCTCTTTTCCCATATTTTGTTAATTAAAAATTATCGATCTGTCAAGAGCCGTGTTTTAGAGGACACACGAGATACCATTAATTTCTAAATCATCACGTCTTCATCGTCAACCATCATGTTATAACTATGAGATGATGATAACGAGAAGCCTTCAAATTTAGATTTGTGTGATAAAGAAGATGATGTGGAGTTCATCACAGGCATCTTCCATCAACGGTGACACACTCTTTGTTTCACCGGCACTTTGCCACATTCCCAATCTTTTAACCCATGTTTACAACCATTTAAGATCATAGCTAATAATCAACTATCAGACTTCCTTAATTAATTGACCATGTTAACTATATCCCCTTTTCAAGTAAATATGATTTTACCTACAATCTACTCTAGATCTTGGTAATTAATACTAACAAAATCGAATCAAAAGAAAATCCAACAACATGATACATAATAGTCATCGAGTTAGAAGACAGATGATCCTCTTACATAAATTAATTGATGAACTATTATCTCCAAATTTTGTTTAGTTTTTTGGGAAGGAGAATAATCTCTAAAAAAGAGCTTTTCGACTTTTCTAACATTACAAGAAACGGAAAGGGAAGAATGAGTCAATGGCAAAGATATTTAGAGTAACTTTGATTATCATATATGAAGCTATATCCTTTGGTCCTATATTTTAAATAATGTTGTATTTTCTTATCATATTGGTCTCAATTAAGTTTAATGTGAGAGTCCTAATCAAAGTTTTTGGCATATTTTTTTATGTTAAAAGTGGTTTCAATGACCCTAATCCTCAACCGACCACGCAGCCGCCCCTTGCATTATCAAAAGCATTAGTGTTAATTAATCGTTCTTTAGTTCTCTCTCAGCTTAGTTGGTGCTCCTTAATTACGTGTACTACCACTAACTACTTTTTCTTAATATTAAAATCCCTCACTTAGAGACACGCGTTTTGCTTCTTCAGCACAGTTAACACTAACGATTTTACTTTCTTTGTTTTTTTATCTTTTTTATAAAACTGTTTTTTTATTTTATCTTTATTAGTTAACGTATGTTTGATTGGATTTTTTTTTTTTAACAATATAATAAATAAGGAATGTAATAAAAAAAAATAAAGAACATTTTTTATTTTCTTAACTTCAATCTTTGAAGTTGAATTTAAAATTTTAAAAGTGAAACTTTTTTGTTGAAAATATTTTTTTTATATAAACTCTAAAAATGGCGGAAAGAACAAGAGAAGTGCATGGAGGGGCAACACGTGTAAAAAATGAAACACGTACTTTACCCACGTGCGAATTGATTGAATATTATAAAAGAGAAATAAAGTTTCCTCAACTGGAATTAGGAAAGAAAAGAAGGGGTAAAATGCATGGAGATGAAGTGTCTAGGGATACACATCAATCTTTTTCTTTTGGTTCTTCTCACATTCTCTTTAGATTAGCATTAGCAATAATAATAGGATTTATTTTAGCCACAATCTTGAGTTTCGTCCTCCTTTTTTTCGCAATCTAAGTCTCTTTTTCGGTTTATCCTTTAACTGAGCTCAGACAAGACACATCCATTTGCTGCCAAATCACAGTTCTGCAAGTTGTCGAGAGTCAATTTTAGCTTTCAACCATCAGACAAGTTTCCTTTGAGATATAAAAAGGACACAAAATAAAATACAAGCAGCAAGGGCTCAAATTGTGTTCGTGTCGACTTCTCGTTACCCATGCACCATGCTTTATAAAAAAGACCTTTTTTTTATTATTTTTCATTAAAATAAAGGCTTAATTATAATTTTATTCTCTTTAATTTAGTATTTGTCCTCTAATTTATTTTGTTTAATTCTAGTTTTCTTATTTTTAAAATGAAACAAATGTAAAGCACCTTTAAATTTTTATCTAATTATTAACAAAATATGCTCATTTGGATGATAATCTTTCAACCTGTCATACTTTAGTTAACTCACTTATAAGATTAAAAAAAATAAATTTATTTATTAGTTTGAAATATACTAAGTTCTTTAGATGCTCAAAACCCATCTCGTTAATTTGTTATTTAGTTTTGGGTACTCTAAATTCTTTAACAAAAGTTAAAATTTTAATATTCAAAACTGTATTTATTATTATATAATTTTTTTATTTTAAAGTAACAGTAGCTCAACGATTTTGTTGAAAAATAAAAAATAGAGAAAAAAAAACAATATTTAAAAAATAAGATTATAAAAATAATAAATTATTGATAGAGAAAAAAAGACATTCAATTAAGAAAAAAATAGTTTAAAGTAAATAAAAATGATATACTATATATTTATATATTATCCTGATAAAATTAAGTAACAAAACTGTATACTTTTTTAAAAAAAATAATATAAATATATTATAATTGCAATCAATTCAATTTATTTTCGTTTTAATAGTGCAAACCTAAAGCTGAATCGTACTATAAAATGTGTTTTTTTCACTTTTTTTTAGTTTAATCGATTTTGTGATTTAAAAACAGTTTAGTTGAACTTTGAACATATCTAATTTTCTTCTTTGGTTAGGTTATAATAATAAAATCTCACTCAATAGGTATTTTGATAATAAAAAATTATACTATTTGCATTTTATAACCATTTTATTTGAAAAATGATTTGTATGTAAATAATACTGGTCAAATTACAAAATTTTATTGCTTTTAAAATTTCAAACAGATATATTTTTTGCTTTGGACCATTTCAATTATTCTTTTTAGTTCTGATTCTTATATTTTTGTAATTTTTTTTATCTTAATCCATGTTACTGATTTAATTTAATAAAGAAAACTGATATACTTAAGAGACTTAAAAATTGAAAAAAGCTGAAGAAAAAAAGAAAAAATATTTAAATACAGAAAGCGTTTTCATATTTAAGTCTATTATTTTAAAACACAATATGACTAGCAGATGACACGTTTACGGCTTAACAATTAGTTTACAATGTAAAATTTAATAATATTGAAGCCGATTCTTTTAGACAGAATATGTTTAAATTTAAAGGATTTTTTTATTCTTTAAGTACTTATTCCTTGGTTTTTGCGGGTGACATTATCATTATAATCACAAAAGAATTGTTTTTTAACTGAAAATTTGACAAAAAAGCGAAAAGTATGTGATCATGTACTTTCTAAAATTAAGGGATTCGAAGTTAAAATAAACAAATAAATTTGACACGAAAGAAAAAAAAAGTAACTACAGATTGGAACTTTGTATTATAATTTGTTTATTAATTATTATTGTGAAGTATAATCATAATATTTGTTCATTGTGATGTTTGAATATTCTTTGATTTATTTTTTTAATGAGTTCCCATAACTGCAAGAAACTCTTTAACAGAGTTGCCATGGAAGTAGATGATTTTGCGTCTAGCCAATAAAAGGGGAACAAAATAATTTGTTAAATTGTTTGACTGGTTTCATTAAATAAGCACAGATCAAGCACATAATTTAATTAATAAAGCATATTCCCGTCATACATTTAATTTTCTTTGTCTAACCACATCACTAGTAAAAACATTACAAATGAGGAAAAGGAAAAGAATGAGATACTAAAGATAACATCTTTTTCATTATTTCCATCGTTTATACACACTCTTTTTTATCTGTCAGTTCTTTTGCAAAGTTGAGAAAAAGCTGGTAAATGAAACATGTCATGATTAATAAATGAGCATAACTAAATAAAAATATTTTATTTATTATATTTTTATACCTATAGTAAAACCTTTTTCTTCAGCCACACGTATTATTATATGTAATAAAATATTTATATTTTATTTTATTTTAATGAAATATAAAAAGTATAATTTTAATAGATAAAGAATATTAAAAAATGACCACTAAAATTTATATTAAAAAATAAAGTGTATGTAGATGAGTGAAGCAATACTGGTAGATGTCAGGAATAAGTACAGCTGAGAACCGGCCAACATGTTTGGTTGGGTCGAGGAAAGCCGTCGGTTTAGCAAGACGGCTTCCAATCAGTTAACGCCACGTCATCATCGACCCACGATTTTGATTTTAAAAAGAAGAGAAAGTGCTGACATGGGAAAAGAGAGAGTGCACGGAGCGAGCGTGCAACCGAGAATGAAAAGAAAATCTAATTGAGGCCACAAAGAACTTGTGGCCAAGAATTGAAACCTAGTTCTGACGTGGCACCCCACTCTTGTTTAAACGGATCAAAATCCTATTCGACAAGCCTTCACTCACATTAAGTAACGCAGTCACTGCCATCTCGCGCGTTTCGATCCTCACAAAATGCACCAAAACGTTGGAGACCCTGCAATTAGGCTCTTCGGCCAGAAGATTCCCCTCTCCGGTGATCTTCACAAAGAACAAGAAGAAGAGGATGAAGATGAACGAGAGATAGAAGAGGAAGGAGACAAGGTACTTACATTTGGTGTCTTTGTGAATCACGAAAATGGTTTCAAGAAATATACCAACGTTGTGGTCACATCTTCACACAACAAAAAACACCCTTTTCTTCTAATGCTAAAACTGCTAAAACAAATCATGGGTCGGTTTTGTCTCTTCACTTCTCCTTTTATTTCCACGCATGCTAACCTCATCACTCTTCTGGTTTTTTAAAGTTTTCGTTTTTACTTGAGTTTTCCCTGATCAAGTTGTTTTTCAATGAAAAACGTACACCCCAATTTTTTTGTAAATTAGTTTTATGAATTTTCCCAATTGTGATATTTATTGCTCGAAATTTTTCTGTTTCTGTGTTTTGGAAATTAAGCTAAAGAAAACTCATTTTTCTTTTCTTTTTTTTCACCCTCAATTCCAAAGCTGGATATTTTTCTGGTCAAGGTTTACGGTTTTTTGACGGCTAAGGAGTTGGAGTAAAATTTATTTTCGTTTTCCACCGTTCGCAGAGTGTAAACTTTTCTCAGGTTTTGATTTTGTTGATTGTGATTAATTTTGTTGTGTTGTTTTTGTTGAATATTTTGATCTTTTAGTGGTGATCACAACAATCTATCAACAATTTCAGTCAAATCTGTCCGTGCAACAGGAACATCACTGTTTCTTTTTCATATAAACTTGTTTTATTGTTTCAATTCTCAGAACATGTAAACTGTCTGGTCCTGCTTAAGACCAGTATTTTCTGTCGGTACCCACGCAAATCTCTGAATAATCTGCTATGTTGCTATAAGGATCTTATTAGCCATGTAAAAATTGAAATATTTTTCACTTGGAACTTTTGGCCTACAACTAAACTAAAATTATCCAGATAGTTTCTCGAATTCCTATATCAAGTATTTTCTTAGCCCTTGAAATTGTTGTATTCTGGAACATGCTTTAATTGGTAATTTTAATCGGACTTGCCCGAATAATAATATAGTTTTCAGTCACAATTGAAACACAAACACTCTTGCCATAGATACTAACATTAGTATCAGCTTTTTGAGTTTTCTTCCGCCCAAAAAGATTAGTCTTCTTTTAATTTTCTTTTCCTCCAAATATAAACTGATGCAAATTATTATTATTATTTAATTGTTCCACCTTGCCCCCTACTACTGTTTTTTGTGTTATAATGTCATTTAATATCAGAAAATTGTGAATCTTATATATGTCTTGGTTCTATTTCTGCAATTCTGTGGTATTGATTTCACTAAAACAAAACATTTTCTTCTTCCAAACTAATAGGATCTAGGAGTTGAGAATGTTACTGAGAAAGAGCAAGAAGCTGATCCTCCTCCAGATGAAGAAGAACCTAAGAAGAATTCAGGCACATCACCTGCGGCTATCGTGAACCCTAAGACACCTTCCATAGAAGAAGAAACTGCAAATACAAAGAGTGACAAGTCAGAGAAGGAACAAAGCAATGCAAACAACTCACAAGAGAAGAAGCCAGATAAATTGCTACCATGTCCCCGCTGCAATAGCATGGACACTAAATTCTGTTACTACAACAACTACAACATCAACCAGCCACGATATTTCTGTAAAGCCTGTCAAAGATACTGGACTGCTGGTGGTACCATGAGGAATGTACCGGTGGGAGCCGGACGGCGAAAGACCAAGAATTCTGCTTCGCATTATCGCCACATAATGATCTCTGAGGCTCTTCAAGCAGCAAGAATTGATGCTTCTAATGTAACTCATCTTCCAATTTTGAAAAGCAACGGTAGGGATAGAGTCCTCAGCTTTGGATTAGATGCACCTATCTGCGATTCCATGGCATCTGTCTTGAATCTTGGAGAAAAAAGGGCTCTTAATGACACAAGAAATGACTTTCGTCACCATGGCTTAGAGGATCAAAGACTCTCCATTCCTTGTAAAAGTGGAGAAAATGGTGATGATTGTTCCACTACATCTTCCATTACAGTTTCAGGTTCTGTAGTAGAAAATAGCAAAAGCACTTTACAACAACCAATGCTTCAAAACCATGGTTTCCTTCCTCAACTTCCATGTCTTCCTTGGCCTTATACATGGAATTCTCCAGTTCCCTCGTCTGCTTTGTGTCCTTCAGGATTTCCCATGCCATTCTACCCTGTTCCTTTTTGGAACTGTGGCATGCCAAGGAATTGGAATGTTCCATGGTTTTCCTCTCATTCATCTGCTTCAAGCCCCAACTCTCCAAGCTCAGGTCCAAATTCTCCAACTTTGGGGAAGCACTCAAGGGACGGTGACATGATCAAGCAAGACAATTTGCACAAAGAAGAACCTTCAAAACACAGGAATGGGTGTGTTTTAGTTCCTAAAACGTTAAGAATTGATGACCCAAGTGAAGCTGCAAAGAGTTCTATATGGGCAACACTAGGAATTAAGAATGAATCAGTGAGTGGGGGAGGTATGTTTAAGGCCTTTCAATCAAGTAAAGACAAAAAGAATCATGTTGAAGCCTCTCCAGTGTTGATGGCTAACCCTGCAGCTTTGTCTAGATCCCTTAACTTCCATGAAAACTCTTGAGTTAATGGCACCATGAAAAAGTCTTTATAAGCAAGAGGCTGTGACCATCTTTGAATAATGGGTTATTGACTTGCTTCATCGACCTTGTATAGAAGCAAAGGGAGAACTAATTTTTGTCTTTCTTTTCACTTAACACTATGAATAGAATAGGTTCATCTTAACGTGTCTAACTTGCTGAGTTTGAATCCTGTATATATATAAATATATAAAATATGTGTGAAATAGAGATCTTTATGTAAAAGCTCTTTACTATGTATAAAAATCTAGATGGTGTACTCAATAGAAAAATGAATAACTTTCTCTATGAATAGTTCTCTCTCCTTTTATGTGAACAACTTGAAGGAGTATTTGTTTTCAATAAAGAGTTCATAATAAACTACAAGACTTAGAAAGATAAACACAAACAATATTAAAAGGAATGGAGAGTGGATACTCTTGCCGTAACATGTTGTGTGCTTTGATATGTTGTCAACTAATCAATAACATTTGAATGGTAAGAGGAGGGAGGGGAATAATATTTTTTGTCCTTGTTATATACTAAGTTATTCCCTCATATACAAAGAAGATATCAGGTACTCTGGTGACTGCGAGAGTTGAGAGAGAGGATAGACTTGCATATAACAGCTTTTTATGAGATAAACATGCATATTGCAGCTTTCTTTCAAAAAGTGGATATTTTCGAGGGATCCAGATCCGCTCCTGTTATGACAGTAACTGGACATTTTTGCTTAAGCTAGTTAAAATTCCCTTGGCCAAACAATACAAAAATAAAGGAGAAAGCACAAAAAATTCGAATTAACAGCAGCACCACATGCAAACTCCTCCATTTGTTTCACCTCCTCCCAACCCCAATAATTCAGAAGCCAAATTCCCATCTCATCCTTTGAGGCTTCTTCCCACCTTCGTGAGCCTGTAGCAACACTTCTTCATTCCCTTTCATGTGAAACCATTCAACACTCTATCATAGAGAGGAAAGATTCCAAGGGAAGGCACATAACCATTGGGTGGCTTGATAAACAAGAGCCAAGTTTAGTTATATATGCTTCTTTTGGGACAACCGCAAGCTTGACAAAGGAGCAAATCCTACATATTGCAAGTGCAAAGCAAGCAAAAGTTCATATGGGTGCTAAGAGATGCTGATAAAGGAGACATCTTTGATGGAAATGAAGTGAAAAGGCGTGAGCTTCCAAATGGGTTCGAAGAGAGAGTTGAAGGGTTGGAGTTAGTTGTGAGAGACTGAGCCTCAATACGAAATTCTGAGCCACCCTTCAATAGGAGGGTTTATGACTCACTGTGGATGAAACTCTTGCATTGAGAGCATAACCATGGGAGTGCCACTAGCAGCATGGCCTATGCACTCAGACCAACCAAAAAACAGTGTTTTGATCTTAGAAATTTTCAAAGTTGATTTGGTTATGAAAGAGTGAGCTAACAGAGATTAGTTGGTGACTGCAACTGTTACTGAGAATGAAAGGGATAAGGAAGCCTCACAGCGAGATGTCACATGCGGCACCGCTGTTATCACTGTCGTCATTTAGTCATTGTTATATGACCATGAATTATTATTTTTGATAATAATTAATAAAAATACCTACAATTTATTTTACTTAATTAAGACTGAAAATACACTAAAATAAACTAAAATTATTATTTCTTTAAAATAAACTAATTCAAATACATAATAAAAGAAATTAAATAATTCTCCCCGATTGTGTGATGGATTTAAACAACTAACATTAAAGCTGAACCACTAGAATATTTCTTCTATATTTTTTAGTTTTCTCGGTGTTTTTAACTTTTTTATATTTTAAAATAAATTTTTGAGCTAATTATTATATTTATCATAGTCAAAATTAAATAAAGATATTGCTAATCAATATCTTAAACATATTATTTAAAAAATACTAGTTAGTGTTTTTTTTTTTTATTAAATCATCACATGTTAATTTGTACAATTTTCTTAGAGCAATTATATTGATTCTTAACCCATTTTCTAGATGAAATATTCCCGCTACTCAAATAGAATTGCTTTTAATAAAAAATACTTATAGTTTAGATAAAAATAAAATAAAATAAAATACTCCATGTAAACATAATTTTTTATTTTTATTAATTCAAACTATAAGAGAAAAAAAAAGTAATCTATTAAATTAATTTTAAAATTATAACGATATAATTTTAATCTCTAAAACTACTAAATAAAAATTATTTAATTCTTAAATTTTAAAACAAAATATAAAATGTTATTTTTATAATTTTAAAGATGAAATCAATTAATATTTAAAATTTTAGAAAATAATATATATATTAAAAAGCTTGTAGCCATATAAATGGTATTATTTGCAATTTGTGGTGACATGTGTGTTTGATCAATCAGGATTCACAGAAGAAAACACAAAGATATTTTGCCAACTTGAATGTAATAGAATAGAAGCTACACTTAGATCACTTACTTTTGACTTTTCCTTCTTTGTTTCCTTTTTGCCCTTTCCCCTCTGCTCACCAAGAAAGCAATTGCTCTTTTGTTTTCCTCCATATGTCAATCAATGCCCCAAATATTCATTATTATAGATACTTCCTTCTTCCTCCACAATTTCTAGATTTTTCAAATGCATCCAATCATAATCACTCTTTTGTATATTATCCACATTTTCTTTCTTTTTTGGGACTATGAGTTGAAGAGACTTTAAATTTAAATTGTCTTGATTGGTATTTAGTGATTGTATCAACTATGTCAATCTCAGCCACTCATTCATTTCTATTACAACAGAACCAAAAGACAGAGAGGTTACCCAAATTGCCAAATCCCATTCATTTCAGCAAGTTTATCACATCAAAGTCAGCTTTCGTGCGGAAACTATACTCACAATATATCAAAATTAAACCTTTGGGAGCATATGATCATACTATTTAGTAGTAACTCTTTTAAGGAATTAGGAATTTAGGATCCCCAGTGATTGAATAATTTAAGTTAAATCAATTGAATATGATCCCTATTTACGACCACATCACTCTCTCTTTCAAATTTTAAAGGAGTTACAATCTTAATTATTTTAAAATCAATACAGAATTATATGATAAGATAAAAACTTTTATACTGACAACGTATTTTAATCAACTCCTTTTCATATTTTGAAAAATTAGTCCTTAATTGTGAATCAAAACTTGAAATATATGTGTAGATTAAAATTATAAGATTTTACACAATTTTAAAATTAATTAATATTTTATTACTTCATTTTTAACATATAACATACTATGAAAAATATAAATAAATAGTTATTATTAATTCACATGTCTACAAATATTTATAAAATTATATATATGGATCGTAGTAATAATTTTACATAAACTAATAATAAAATTAAAAAAAAAAACTTACTTTTAATTAAAAAAATACTAAAATCTCATTTCAATAAATTTAAATCATTTGTCTTATCTTTATATATATTTTGCAATTGAATGATGACAAATTATTGCAAAATTGATTGCCATTCGAGAGTGCTTCGTGCCTTTAACCACTCATTTGCAATGCAATTCGTTCCTCGATGAAAGTGTTTGACCCTCTTAAGTTAAGATAGATTTGAAATACGCAGTTGATCAAATATCTCTTTACCTTTATTTTCATCGACAGATGTATTCATATTCTTTGGGCATAGTGCTATTCACTCAATCTAATAAAACTATAATACATGAAACTGTTTAATTAAATTTAAATTATTATTTGTTAATTTTGAGTCAAATCACAGCCATTGATTTTTTTTATTTGCAGCCATTAGAAATATCATTAGAAGATTGTTTTTTTTTTTTTTTCCTTTTCATTATCATCTCCATAATGAGAAAGAATAAGCCACATTAACCTAGTTTGGACGCGGTCTTAGAAAGTATTGCCACTTATATAATTATAAGGTTGACTTACTGGGAGTTTAATTCCAGAAGGATAATGATAGTTGCTAAAATTTTCAAACATAATCTAAACAAATCCAATGTCCATCTGAACCGGGATTAAACTTTACATGATGACTACTGCTTATGGTGTTCTTGGTATTTTAGTAGAATTAGTTTTTAAAAGTGTTTAAATACAATGAAGCATAATAAATCAACAGTATCATGCCATAAAAAGAATCAATAACATGAGATTAAAGGGAAAGAAGAAAGGGAGAAAAATCATATAAAACTTGCAACATGTTTTCTACCCACAAACAGAGAGAAAGAAAAAAAGAAAAGAAAAGAATATTAGGTAAAATAACAAATCGATCCATCAATTTACCAACTCAGTATTCACTATATTAAAAAAGATATAAAAATATTTAATATAATTATTTATTTCGTTTTTCTTTCCAACTAAGTTCAAAAAGCTATTTTCTTTCTCCATCTTTCTTTCATCTTTGTCCAAGCAATTAAGAAAATTAACTTTTATCTTTATTTTGCTGCCTTTCATTTTCCACCAAAACAAAGTATTAGCAAAAGAAAAATGAAACTGTTGGTCCTTTCCTAGATTTGCTAGAAGAATTGAGTGACACTAGAACTCAAAGCACCTATTTCCAGCAAAACAAATCCCTCTCTCGGCGAGGAGTTGACTTCGATACTCAAAGTAACATTAGACTTAAAGTATGCATGCTCAAGTGTTTCTATGACTAGAATTTAAAAATTCTAACACTCATGATCTACGATTGCTGAATAATCCGTGTATTTTTTCAAAGTGAAGAACAACACTTCTTTTTTTAATTTTTGGGTCACGAACAACACTCTTCTTAAGTTGGAGAAACATAGGAGGAAAGTCACGGATGCATAAACCCATAATTTTTGAATTCATATGTCAATAGACTTAAATTTAGAGAACTAACTGCTTGTTTTTGAGAATTTTTTTTTCAATAAATTGACAAAAATAAGGAATTATTTCTTTTAAAATAAGTTAAATCAAACGCACACTCAATAGGACTATCTTAGCTTAAAATAATAATAATAATATTTTTTTAACGTTTGTAAAATACAAGGATTATTTTGCAACATCTGAAAAAATATTGTATAATATTTAAACTCCTTTAAAATCTAAGCGAGTTATCCAAATCCAAAGATGATTTATTGAAGTACTACGAAAATAAAATACTTTCCTTTGCAGTTCGTATAATTAAGTCAGACAAATTCTTGTTACCTTTTTATTCAAGAAATGGCAATTGGAAAGAGCATGAGCAACAATGCCAAAGCCAGGCAAAAGACAGGAATGTAAAAGACTAAAAGGAATCAGAAGAAAATAAAAAAGAAAAAGTCAGGAGAACAACTGTTCGATGAAAAGGCACATTCAAAAAAGTGTGGCCGCCAAAGAGTTGTTTTTCAATAGAAAGGCACAGAGAACAAGGGTTATCTTTTACCCTCGTGCAAATCAGAGAAAAACTACCGATTCACATTGATGCAAAAAAGCACAAATTTTTGTAAAACTGTACAACAGAGCACAAATCAATGTTAAACGATAAGAAACAGATCAAATGGAAATTGGCTACGTTGTAAGATGTTCATAAGAATATTCAGAATGATGCATATTCAAGCCACAGGAAATTTCCAGATTAGGATCCTCGCACAAAATTTAATATACAAAACCGTAAAATTGCTCTTCGAATAATTACAATGTTGCACGGAACAAATTTGTTTCCAACAGTCAAAATTTGAAAATTGGTTTCTATTGCTCCTGTCTCACAAACAGGAATACAGCATACGTTATTGATTTGAGTTATTGGTACCTCCTCAGTTTAGTAAGAACATACAACAAACGTCAGTGTATACTATACATACACCAACTTAAATTTTAACATTACAATGCACAATTATATTTTTTTCAGAAGCAATAATTCTTACTCTTTTATACTAATTCGAAGCATAATATTACTCTTAACTAAATCATTAAAATTTCCACGTAATTATAATATTAAATTGCTAGAAATTATAATTTATATTTTGTTAGAATGTTTTAAGGATATATGTTAAGAATTAAGGATAAAATTTATTTCTTCTCTAAATAATTTTTAATTTTACTGCCTTGTTTTGTACTTAAAAGCACACGCAAACAAAAACGTAAAAATATATTCATTTTTATCAAACTAATAACTATGAAACATTTAGATCTAAATACATCTATCAAATAAAATATACTTCCAATCAATATTAAATGCAATAAAAGGTAGTTATAATGTTTTTATAAAAAAATGCTATGAAGAAATGGATCCTTCCATGTTCGTGATATACAAGTCATGTTCAAACCCCCATTTGGGAATCAATCTTAAGTTAATATGAATATAAATGTTCATTGGATTCTACATCCCCCAGAATCTGGTCCACGCCGGACATTGCCATAGGCTGACAGTTCCAGAAGATCCATATCACGATCTGCAATGCATTATGCATCCAGTACTCCATCAGAAAACTTTCGATTACTACTATAGCTAATATAATCATCATAATCATACCTGAAACCCTGCAATATGAACTTTTTTGAGTAAGTTCAGCTTTGGAGATCTCTGTTCGATTACCTTTTGCACGATTAACTGTTGCCTGAAAAATCATGGACAGAAACTTCTGTTAAATGAATGCAAAGCAAAGCAAAGCAAATCAAATAGAGAAACAAATTAAGTGCTCATTTGGTTTAGGGCTAAAATCATTTTCGCACACTGTGAAATATGTTTCAATGTAAAATCTGGATCTGAGATTAATTTGAGCAAACATCTTAATCACATTAAACTCTATCAAAATCAATTATAGCAAAAATCTAAAACAAATGAACAGTAAACCCCTACTATACAACTTACATCCATATTGGAACGAGGGAGTATTTTAGCAGCAAAACTAAACTACATGAAACTGACCAGAACAAGTCAACCAGAAAAGGGAAATTATATGAACACCTAAATAAATTAATGGCAATTCTTAGTGGACTCATCACTAGAGTTTGAAAACCATACAGAAATAGTCCAATGGAAGAAACAAAGAAATATCAGATGATTTGAGTAATCTAAATGCTTGTATCCAATATACCAAAGGTGCCACTTTTAGGGAACCAACTGAATATATGCCATCAAAAGTAATTCAGCATTGCCATTACTGTTTGGTAGCCATATTAACAAGCCTGTTTTGCGCTACTTCTATTGGCTCCGTAAAGGTATACACCCAAGTCTTTGATTAGTTCAATCTCCAGAAATATGTTAGTGGAGTTCCACAACGATATTAAGTGGTTCTTTTGTAATAGAATACTTCTTTTCAATTAATGGATAATCCCCATCACAAAGAAAAATAAAAGATGCTTATGAATGAATCCATTAGCATGTGGATGGTCTATGTACAAGTGTAAAATGAAATGGTTATGTCAAGTTTACAGGTATCATTGAAATACGACAGGATAATGATAAGCGAAAATGTTTGCATTTTAAAAAAATCTCAATTACAAGTTTTATCTTTTAATAAAAGGCACACTGTAAAGCAAAATTAATAAATCATATTACAAGAGACCCTGCCTGTAGTATGAAAACAGAGAAATAGAGAGAAAGTGAGAAACCTTACTTGCAATACTTGACAATTTTCCAGTGTGCTTTCTCCCCCCTGTAGTTGATAGAACTGATTAAAAGAAAGGATTTTTATTGATAAACCCTAAATTTCAAATTCTGCACCAATATGATAGCAGATTTAGGCTGGTATAGAAAACACAAAAATGAATGATCTCCATCAGAGTAATACAGAAAGCAGAAGAGAAGCATTAAATGTATAGGGAGAAAGACCTTAGAGTAAGGGAGAATGTGATCGTAGTCGTGACAAAGACAACCAGGGCAACCTAAGAGCTTGCGAAAAACAATGTTGCCGAGGGCGTCCCTGCGCCAGCGATCGGGGTCTCGGCCTTTGACTTTGTCGGCCTTTTCCCAGCATTTCTGTTTGACGATGTGAGGGAAGCTTCGAGGGTTAGGGTTAGAATGGGGATAATCACGAAAGAGAGAGGTGGAGTCGTCGTCGAGATCAAGGAGTGTGGCAGAGGGTGAGTGGGTTGGTTTGGATGAAGCAGAAGATAACTTAGATGAAGAAGATTTGGATCGCTCCTTCAACGGTGACGCTGAGTTCGCTCTTCTTCTTCTCCTTTCTTCTCTGCTGCTCGAAGCAGACGCCGAAACAGAAGTCCCGCTCATTTCTTCATCCACGTTTCCTTCCTTATCCGTTATCAAATACAAATTATTTTATACCTTTGTTTACATGAAAATCGCCACTTTTTTTTTTCAATACATAAATTAAGGACATTAATCAGTAGAGTTGGATTAAGATATTAAAATACTATTTTATATTTATATTTTAAAAATTTATTTGTATTTATTTTTAAATTTGTATACAATTTAAAATTTATTATATTTATTTAAAATTCATTTTTTATCATATAATTTTTATCAATTTTTAATTTTTAAATAATGTATTTTAAATAAGTGATAATTCTTTTTTAAAATATATACTAATTTTTATGATATTTTTATTCTTAAATAAATTAATTTTAAATTAAAATACTCAACTCTAAATAAAGATATATGTGAGGTATAGATGAGAAACTCAAACATTTTTTCCATTTAGATAATGGATTTAATTAAAATAATAACATACAAGATGCAGTTGACTCAAATGTTAGAATTTAACGAAACTAACCCAATTACCTCACGCGATCACTGTTAAATGTTTAAAATAATTTGCTATAAAGATTCGAAATTTCATGCAATTAGTTCTACTATTGTTTGATATTCATTATTTCGGTTAGTTACCAGGTCACAAAGGATTAGGAATGTACATAACTTTTTCTTGATTTTTTTTTCTATGTTGTTGCTGAATTTTCTCTGTCATTTTACAATTAACAAACCTAATTACTTAAATCAAATGCTGTTCGGGTTAATTTATTTTAAGTTATTGACCAGATTTTACCATGATTTTTAGTATATATTTAGTAAATTAATATTAAAATTTTGAATAGTTAAATTTATATTTTATAAAAATTATTAAATAAAATAACTATAAGAGTTATCGTGGAAGTACCATGATTTGTGCACGGAAAAATGAAGATAAAAACAAAGATGTTTGTTTGTTTATGAAGGGGAAAAGGTGTGCTGTTTTGGATGTTACAGAAGAAAACGTGGCAATGAGGAAGTGAATGGAAGAGAGAGAGAGAAGGGGGAAAGGGTTAGTGTTTGTTTGTTGCAAACGCTGCCAACGATTGGGGTCTCAGAAATCTCACCGTCCATTCTCAAGTTTTGAGCTTTGGCTGGTTCCCCAAACTCTTTCCACCGAAATCATAGCTACACCCATCGTCCTCCAACAATTTCTTTCTCTTACATATCATATCCCTCTTTCCCTTTTTCTCTCTACTCTGCATGTTTTCCCTTAAACGTTCTTTAGTTACATCACACCCTCCTTTGTTTCCATCATTTTCATTCACTTACCCTTTTTTCGTACATTCCCTTCAGTATCTCAACAAGGTTCGTCTTTTGCTTTTGTTGCAATATGGGTTTCCCTTAAAACATTGGAATGTAGTGATGCTCTTTGGTGTTCTAAGTTTCTATTTTCATTTTACATTTGGGTTGGTTCTTGTTTGATCGTGGCAAAAGAGAAACTTTATTTACGGGTATATGTGATAAACTGTGCTGTTCACAATTTTTTATTTTAATGGCTTGGTAAAGAGTTTTTTTTCCCCCACATGAATGTGTTTTCTCTTAATTATCGCAGGATGGGAAGAGTTAAATTGAAGATAAAGAAATTAGAGAGCATAAGCAACCGACATGTGACTTATTCCAAGCGAAAAAGTGGAATTTTAAAGAAAGCAAAGGAATTATCAATACTATGTGATATAGATATTGTCCTTCTAATGTTTTCTCCCACGGGAAAGGCTACATTATTACAAGGAGAACGCAGGTAATAATAATGACCAAACATTTTGTATGGTATTGAGAATGACTGAATGATGTTATTTCTAGTGAGTTGAGTATTTATGGCTTGGAGGAAGTACAAGCCAAAAAACCTGCTATGATGTGTATGTCTTTCAATGAGACCATGATGGCATGTAACACACCCAACTTCAATGATTTCTTGAGTTGAATATGTTGTAGAGTAGGCATTTACCATTTCAAAAAACGCTGGCAATCTAGGCTGTGAGTGCAAATCATCTTCTAGAAGGATAATGAGATATCAACTTTATACATCCCTCATGAAACTTATCCGTGCAATTCAATTTAAGTGATATTTCAGGAACAAGGAAGTCTCCTTATGAGCAAAAACTTGTGTGATTTGCTTAATTGTAACTTTAGTATGATAATCATGAAGTGAACATCGTAGGAAGAATAAAAAGATATATATGAAATTATCAATTTATATCTTCCACATCAGAGTTAATATTTTATGCATATTAATATACTAAATGGTATAAAAAAAAATTAACCATACTGCTGTTAATTTGGTTTGCCTTGTTTGTTTGTTTTTAACATCTCTATTTTCATATTTAATGTTTGTGTTTGTAGTTTTATTTTTCCTTTCAAGCCAGAAACAAACTTAGAAGTCGAAATAGCTATGTTAGTTTTTGCACAAGTGTGGAAGAGGCCAAGTTCATTGAGCCTTGTGTATTAGTTGGATATTATTGTATTAATATAAAAATTACCTTTAAATTGGTTAAGAGTCAAGTATTGAATCCATGCTAGGCTTTTAATGATTCTACATTATTTCCAGCAATATTGAGGAGATCATTGCAAAATTTTCTCAACATAGCCCACAAGAAAGGGCAAAAAGGTTTGCTAAACTTTTTTTATGAAGTTATGGTTTCTGTTTCTCATTTGTTGGCGGTAAACAAGCTAATCTCTTTTCTTGTTTTATTGGGCAGGAAAATGGAAAGCCTTGAAGTAAGATTACTCTATTTTTCTCATATGTGCCTTTTATATACACTACTTTTGTTGCATCAAATGCATTTTTTATGTTATCTCAATTTCTAGCGATGCTTAAAATTTTTGGTTGTTAAAAATGTAGGCACTAAAGAAAACCTTCAAGAAGTTGGATCATGATGTAAAATTACAAGATTTCTTAGGTTCAAGGTAAGTGATTGTCATTGTCAAATTGTCAACGCCTTTTATGTTGGGGCTTTTACAGATTCTGAGTTTTCTCTTTTTTGCCTTGCAGCAGTCAAACAGTGGAGGTACAATTTCTTCATAAACATCATGTTTAATTATAATATCAGAATCTTAAGTTGGTAGTTGAACAATCAAAATGTTCTGATCCGCATGCAGGAATTAACTTATCAACTGAGAATTTTACAAGCTCAGCTCACAGAAGTACATCAGAGACTGAGGTGCAACTTTGGAGCTTTTGGTTGTTAAAGTATTTCTTTTTCTTTTTGGTGTTATTTTATTGCTATCTTGTTGAACTATTATTCATTTGGCCTCTGTATTTCAGGTTTATTGCTTTACAATCATTGGATTATTTCTCTCCCCTTGATTAGCATGCATACGTATCTTTTTGTTGTGCATTTGAACTTTGGCATATTCCTTTGTCCCTTTCATGTACACTTCATATCCTTATTCAAACGTTTATGGTGGATTTAATTTTATTTTAGACAATTTATATGGTTGAATGAAAGAGAACTAATTATATGGTTGGTGCTAGATTATGGGTTTTGAAATCTATTTGACATTTGAGTTTTCTCTATATAAACTGAATAATTAGAGCCCAAAAGAGATGAAAGAGACCCAATTATAATACAAAGTGTTAGGTACCCCTCTGTCAACAAAACAACTTAGACTCTGTTTAGGTTATTATAATCATTATATGCATTTCACAACTGGAGCTTTCTTAATTGTTGCATCAACAATTACTCAATAATTGAACCCAAGCTTGCTTTATAAATTTGAACAGTTTGTGTGCATTAAATTTCATTGAACTTCTATTCTGACTCTCTCTGCCAGCATTAAAATGATCACAACACCACACGCATAATGCTATCTAAACCTGATGTTTTCGTGCATGTATTATGGGATGAAATTTCAAATGGCTATCATAGAGAAATCTTGTTTAAATATGCAATATTTTCAGCTATTGGAATAATTTGGAGAAGATCAACAGCATAGAACATCTTAAGCAAATGGAAGACTCACTTAGGGAATCAATCAATCGAGTGTGCCTACAGAAGGTAAGCTTTTGTTTCATGTATTGTAGACTAGTAATATTGTTCTGTCATCTTCAAATGCTTAATATACCAGTCTGTTAAAAAGCTACTGAAATATTAGGTCTATATTTTAACATGCTTACACGCTTCCTAAATTTTCTTAAATTCTTTGGTGTTTTCGTTGGCAGGAAAATTTAGGAAAGCACCAACTAATTTCACTGGAATGTGCTAACCAGGTAGTAATGCTGGACTCTCTCTGTCAATATCTCTTGCTCTTTTCTTCAGCATAAATCTTATTTGATTTGAGATATTGTTACTTCATAGTTGCAGGAAGGGATGACCTTGCCCTTGATGATGGCTGGCCTACAAGAATCACAACCCCTATCTTGGCTCTTGAATAGTGATAATCGTCAGTTGATGTTACCTAGTGAACCAAAATATCTACCATTTAGGTGGGTTAACTGTTACGAGTCTTGAATTTATTCTACAGAGTTTTGTGCTACTCTGATACTAACAGAAGTTGAAGTATTGAATTGGATTCTTTCTATGAAACTTACACATTTTAACCTGCTATAAGATATTTTTTTGTTTTTTTTTTCCAATTAATATGTTTCATTAGACTAATAATTTATCAAATTTCTTTATGACATTGACATATATTGCCTTGTGTTTCATTTTGTAGACTAGTAACTGATTCAATTGTATAACATACAGTGATAATACCAATAGAGATGTTGAGTGCTCCACTGACATTTCACTCCCAGGCTATTCTGGTTATATTGGGAGTAACAAACTTGAAGTTGGTAGCTCTCCCCAAGTCACTTCTTTGGGTCAAGGAGGTGCTGCCTTGAATGAGTTAAATGGAACTGCTTACTTAAATGTACAACATTGTGATCAGTTTGCATATCCTCCTCCACCAGATATCGAGGAAGTGAAACATCAACCAACAACAATGAACAGTAAACCAAACACTGTGGAATACCAAGTTAATAGCAACTTCGATCTGCCTAGATCACTGTTTGAAAATGGACATCAGTTCTGGAATTCTGCTTCTGGGTCGTGTGGGATTGCCATGTATAATGAGAATGGCTACCATAGGGTAAGCGGTCTTTTTATGTTTCATAAGATCATACTTTATAGTCCAGGATAGATTTTGAATTTGCCAAAATTGCTCAAAGGGGGGGTTGGGAGCACTTGAGCAAGAGATATTCACAATGTTCTAATTCTTATTGTTTGGCTTTTAGTCTCTAGTTTTCTAGTAAACAAGTTGGCTTTGGTTTCTTTCTAATTTTCTTTATTTTGCAGTAATTGATTGGATCAACTAGCCATGCTAGCCTCTTTCAAGTGAGAAGGATGTTAAATGAAAAGATGACCAATGCTCGCAAATTTCTCCTTAAAAACCAGATTAGATTGGCTCTTCACCTATGAGGTCAACGGCGCTCATAAGAGTGGGATATGTTAGTTGTATATATTGTATGACTTGTAGGATGCAGTTTGTTCACATATAAGCATTTGCGTTGACTGGCTTGTGTACTGTTAGATTTTTGGAATTGATTCAGTGATTCCAGCTGTAAAATTGAATTTTGTAAAAAAGTAATTTTATGTACTTTGGGACACAAGTTTAGTTTTCTTAGAAAACTGTTTCTTGAAGTGAAAGTTTATTTGCTAATAAGTAAATAGGCCTGAACTTAAAAAAACAAACGGTTCTTTACAATCTCCCAAAATTCATCCACTCAGGATTACAAAGATAAAGACACAAGCTTTAAACCCAATGATTACGAAAAAAATACGTTGGTTACAAATTTATTTACCGCTTAGTCAATGGATAATGTTGCCCGTAGGTTTGCTAGATGCTGCAAATAAGGTTGTCAAATGGTCCTTTTCTTGTCATGTGCTGCTGAGCCATAAATCCCAAGAATGCCAAAGGGTATCCAACCTTATTTGGGGCCAAACTGTACTGATTAAAGATGGGTTATTGGTTTGAATCAAACCGTTTGATTTACACTACCAGGATTCTCAATGATATGATTTTCACGTAATGAAACAAAAAGAATTCAACCACAAAGAGGTAAGGATAATGCAAAAAATAATTCTTTCCCAGCATCATACCATGGTACATCGATGGTACCAATTTTGGTGAAGGCTTCGGGAAGCAACATTCCTACAACACCCAACATGGGCTAATGTTTATACACAAGCTCAGCTTGGACAGGTACCTCAGCAAGTCCTAGAGGATCAAATCCATTGTCCCCAGGAAGACTATGTATTGAATAAAGCACAGATAACTAGTTAAAAATTATAGCCAAATAGATCGTATAATTTTTGTTTTCATTAAAAAATTCCAAACTAGTTGTATATGTGTTACATACCTGCCTTTGAGCTAACTTAGGGAGGCCAAGCCCGGCAAACCACTATTCTTTCCTAGCTTGAACCTTATAAAAGGTAAATGGAGATCTTAGGGCCAGTTTTGTTTCTGAAAATGTTTTTTATTATCACTTTAAATATTAAAATGCCACCTTAGTTTCATTTTGTTTGTTTTCTAAGATTTGCATAGGAAATAGAAAAAACAATTTTTTTTTCAATATTTCCTGCACTAATATTTGAAAACATGAAACAAAACAAAAACAAAAATCATTTCCTAAAACCAAACAGTCCCTTGTTGGGCTAACACCATTGAAGATAATAATTAAGAAAATGCAAACAAGCTTTAGACTGTAATTATTTACAAACTGATGCAAAACTTATTCTTAGGACATTTTTTTTAAATAAGTATTCATAAGATATTAATTAAGAAAATAAAATATAGAAAATTGTATAAGAAAATATTATTAATGTATTTTTGTCATGATTTTTAATGCATTTGTATGGTAATTTTTTTATTTAATTGTTTCTTTTTACCACTGCTCGTAGGATCTCACTAACATGACCCTTTTAAAAACAATAGCATTTTATAAAACTTTATAAGCTGTATAACTATAATTATTTTTTAACTAACTAATTAAACATTCAAGAGTGTTTAGTGAGTGTTTATAAACTTAATTCTATAAAATTAAGTTTTAAGGGAAGTAATTTATATTTAAAGTTTTTATTCTAAAGGAAAAAGTTTATAATAATTATAATAATTTTTAATATAAAATTCTAAATCTGTCCAGCTAACACAATAAATATTTCGGCACAAAAAATGATTTAAAAAGTTCATGATTATTTAGCACCCCTCGTCATACAATAAACTCTCCACATAAGGACAAATGGAATGTGCTTGATGACAGTAAAATAAATGCTTTTCGTAATTGTATCTAAATTGAAAATGACTTTTGTTTTTCATATACTATCATAAAATTACTTCTAAAAAAATCCAAACAAATTCATTAATATTTTAAGAATACTTGCTTGAACACAAAGAGCACCTACAAACATAATATGTACCGACAGCATGTAGTTGCATCACTTCATCATTGTCTGCTTTCAATAGCACGTAGATCATGTTATGTAAATTATATTCTATATAAGCACTAAAAATTCTCTAGACAGGATCTTGATTGTCTGAGGCAGAAACACTTCGAGCTAATAAAAAACATGATTTTATTCATCCATGTCTTGCATTCGTTCTTACAGACTCAGCTCCTTATAGTCGAATACAATCACATACCGAAGCAAAAATGTTGTTTTTTTTATTTTCTACTCTATCGCTTTTTAGCTAAGCTAGAATATAGGTACTTTCAAGACAACATAAAAAGTTGAACTAACTTATGATAAACAAAAAATGGCGGGTGATTAATTAACACCACTTCCACCTAAACTTACCCTGCCTTTTCCACAAAGAGCAGAACATAGTTCTTTGCAATACAATTTTAAATGACTAGGGCCATCTTAAAATATGCCCATCTACTTTGCCCCCAATGACTCAATTCTATGATATGTTATTTTTTTATTATACTCACTTTGGTATTATAATAATACTCCTAACCATAATTAAATGACACAATTACTTGAAGTGCAAACACTTTTAGTAACTTACTGAAAAGTGTTTATGTTCTTCTTAGTCTCTTAAGGGAATTGTTGCCCTGTAAAGGTCTGGCCAAAGGACCAGTTATTAGGGACAATGTTATCAGAGACCAAGGTGCGGCCATCACTAGTGATAACCTTAAAGGAGAGGCTTTGTCCATTGAGGTAAGCATTGCTTTGCCAATTCTGACCCCAGTTTCTAGACATTGGTTGCCAGTCAGTTCTAGAACCTTTGATGGAAACCGCTTGAACATCACCAGCACCACCAACGTTGGTGATTAAGACTAGGTTGAAATAAGAATGACCATTGATGGTGAACTTGATGCCTCCTCTCTTTTGGCATGCCACCCTGCGTTATCACAAATAAAGAGAATCAAAATGCTTGGTTGAAACAAGGACAGAGCAAGCAAACTAAGGAATCAAATATCAAGATAAAAACGGGTATGATTCTCTTCCCAGAAGCATAGATTCCTGTAGATCGCCAAAAAAAATCATCATGGAAAACATATAAATAAAAAGAACACCGTATACCCATTTCCCCCTAACATATTATGTGCTCTAATATTATTTATTAAGAATTTAAATTAATTAATTACTTAATAATTAATATAATCCATGTCAATTTTCCCTAATGCTGTTCTGTTACTTGAACCATTATAAACTAATATGGTATGTACTAGCATGCATTATTTTTATTTACTTTTTATTTTCCTATATATAAGCATCCCAGAAATATATCTTAAACACAAAAGAGACACCATTTAGTGGTAGAAAATAAGTATTTAAAGTAAATCATTACAAAATAATAAGACAAAATGAACTACCTTCGGTAAGCTATAGGCACTATGCCAGCTTGGTACTGAGCAATTTGTTGGAAGACAGGCTGAGAAAGATCAAAATGTTGAAGGGGAGGGTTGCACCAGCCACCTGCATCATTTGGGAGGGCATTGTTTGGTGGACAGAAATTGGTGGCAGTGACCACAATTGAGCCCTGAAGGCACCATCTTTGGTCATTCACACACTTTATCTCAAAACAAGCTCCACAGCTCAAACCATTGTTGAACAAGGCTGTGCTCAAAGCAGCAGTGTTAGTCCCATACCCCTGGCTATACAGGTTTCCGTATCCACAAGCTCCACCTGCAACACCAAATGAAGGTTGCGAGTCTTATTCTTCTTGTGATGTAGATGTTACAAAATTTCTACTTGGGACTAATCATGTGCTAAGTTCTAAGCAATAAGCATGGATTAATTGAGAAAAAATAAATGTAAAGGGTAACGAAATTAATGTTCTACATATTACAGTATATAATTTCTCAACATATTTTTAAAAAATATTTATTTTTATTATTTTTGAAAAAAATTTAAAAAACGGTTTATTTGGAAATAAACGGAGATAAACACTCTATTAGCATAAAAAAAATGAGTTTATAATTTATTTTCATAATGGCAATATAGAATTTTAAAAGGAAAAACATATGTATGATTTTTTTAGTGCAGTGAAGCATTCATGAATTTGACAAACGCTTTTTATACTAAATAAGTGTGAAATAATTTTACAATTTTTTCAACACAATTCACTTTACATCATGTTTGAACATTCGATCATTTTTTTTCCCATTTCTTTCAGAATTTTTAGAATTTTTTATAGCCATGCATGACTCCCCTCCCTTACTAAGTTGATATACACGGTAAAAAAGAATTTATAAAGCATATGAAATTTGTTAACTAAGTTAGTCTAGCTAGCTACCTTAAACATACATACGTACCATGTGGCAGAAACATAACAGTACTAATTTGTGACATACCCATCGTGCCAGAGGCATCACCCCCTCCATAGAATGTTGCATGAGCATCCATCCAACCATCACTGTCCCCATAAACACCCGATCCCACAGAGAGAAACCCCACAAAGAGAAGAGCCAGAAATGCCATGTTTCCTGCAAACACTAGTGAGTGATGTTGTGCAATACAATAATTACATTTACTATACCAAGTTCAAAAGTTTAAACTGACTAGCACCTTAGTAGATAGGGAAAAAGAAAAGCAGAAAAGTTGTGAGGAAATTAAAAGCAAAGGCAGGAGGGAATAAATAGAGGGTGCTGTGGCTATGTGGCGAAGAGTGCTTTCGCTTAACCAACGTAATGCCAACGAAAGGAACTGACACAATAGTGAAGTGTGGGGACCCTAACCACGCCAAGTGTAGCTGTTACATTTTTATGATATTTTTGCCTGAAACCACGTGGTTTTCAGCCCTTTCTGCGTTTGTTTGTACCCAAAACTCGAGTAGAGTTAGAGTTTGCTGATATGCAAGTGAAAACTACCTTTGTTGCATTTAGAGAGCAACCAGCCAAAAATGTCACATTTCCTTCCCACACTAGCTACCATTCCTAGCCGACCGTAAACTAACCCTACACTGTGTCTGTTCTCTCACCTTTGCTTAATTTTATCAGATTAGACTCTTTATGAAACATTCACTATATGAGCTCTATATATGATCCCTAATATATCCTTAATTAACGGTTTTAAGATCAAAGTACTAGAATCGAGAAAACAACCATAAGATCTATTGTATTTAATTAATTGTTCAAAATGCATAACATGGGTGCCGAATCATATTATATACGTGATTTGCTTTATCTAATATCTTGAAATAAATAATGAATGATTCCTTGGTGTGTTTAGACAGAACCTAGGAGAGAGAAGAGCCAAGTAAAATAGACTGTGGCACTAAACCAAAGTCACCGTTAATGTAAAAGGAGTTGAAAAAGGTGCAGTCAAATGTAAAATACTACTAATACTTTGCATTCGTACAAAATCAAATGCAGTTGAATATATATAAATCATTGGATGAAGACTGAACCACACACATTTTTTTGAAGTGCACCACCTAGTAATTTTTGGACAACAATAACTCAGATTCCAATGAATGCCCAGAGAGTGCAGTGTTCCGTTCAAGAGCATATTCGAAGATCAAAGTTCAAACCAGGCAGCTTATGGTTTTTCATCTGTGTGCATTCATTCACATCGTGTTACCAAGCACGTCTGAAGATTGTGTGACAGAAACACTAGTTTATACAACATTGTAGCTAGCATGGTAGGTTGCAAGCTTACAAAAACAGTTGCCTTAATTAAAACATGGAAAAGAGGAAATGAGATAGGATAACACAACACGTGGGTGAGGCGGTGCGTGATATTCGTTCTGTTAATCGGTCATGTCGTCAGGTCACATTGGGAGCACCAAGAACCATCCTAATCTCATTTATTACTTTCCATTTACATTCAATGCTAATGCCTCTTTGCAAACCACAAATATAAAATAGAGTCAGCACTAATATTATGCCTTTCTCAGTGATACAAAAAAATTGCCAGGAGAGAGAAAAAATGAGCAGACGAATGGAGATGCGGGGTATCGATCCCCGTACCTCTCGCATGCTAAGCGAGCGCTCTACCATCTGAGCTACATCCCCTTCACATCAAAGCATTTTATATAGTTCTACATGTATCTGTAAATCTATATTAATTTTAGAGAATTCGGACTATTATATATGTTGCTCTTAAATTTAGATAACAGTTATATATATTAGGTTTTAAATAAAATAAACTAAAATTTAATTTAATATATGAGAATGATATACACTGATGAGTATATTATTCAATTTCTAGAGTATCTATAAAAGAATTGTAGAGTAAAAAGTGGTTGAAATAATTATCATATTATCTTAGGAATCATTTAGTGAAAATGATAAAACACAATATTTAAATAAAAATAAATATGTAAGATAAACTTACATATTTAACTTATCACCTTCCTCATAGTAAGATAAACTTTTAAAAAATAAAACAAAATAAACTATTATGTTATATCTTCTTATTCTGTAAGATAATTATGCTTTTCCGTTTCAAAGGAATATTACTTTCATCATTAATTCAATGTGTATGGCAAGTTCCATTTTCTTTCTTGTTTATCTGTTCCACACACCACCAGTACAACTCTAGAGTACTGTGCAACAAATATTACAAGGCCAGTTTTCATTTTTATGGATTCTTGACAACACAACCCGTTCGTTGCGTAAACGTGATGAAGTCTGAAAACTGTCCAGGGATATCTCCATCACTTTAATTGTTCATGCATTGCACCATATCTTCGTTTTACTTTTCCTCAGAAAACAATTATCATGGACGTACATATAATAATGTCTCTTACTCTTTAGTAATGCCAGCTAATAGCTTGACTTGACCGGCCCTTTTGTTTTTATTCTAATCAAACGCAATAATGCAGGGTTCAGACTTCAGGGTGATCCTTGTTCATGTGGATGAAACTTACGACTCATTTGCAAATCACTTCAACCCTTTTTTTTTTCGGAAAAAAAATATTATTTATACCTTATTTTCAATGAAAAATGAGTACAGAAAAACAAGAGATGACGAGAATTGAAAATAAATATGAATATAACCTAATAAATGATTAGTATGAAAAGCTAATACTTGATTTTTCTCTTGCTTTTTAACATTCACTTTTTAAGATTCCCAATAATTACATGCCGGTACCTTGCATGATTGTTCTCTTTCAAACGTTATTATGGACAAAATTTGGCAAATCAAAATCTGAAAGCTACCCTTGTCCCCTTGATGGACAATTACAAAATATTCGGCAAAAGACACAATCTAAGTACGCTGATAGCTAAACCGCAACATAAAATATATGCATTAGTATAGTAACATGCATATTGATCACCTTATCAATAAATGAGCAAAAACTAGATTTTTGTGATTCATAATCGTTATCAAATTATATTATGTACGTACATATTGTCAGGCCTTATCCTAGATACATATCCATGATGATGGCACACTTGTATGGCTTTCAAGGTTAGAATATTTGTCAATTTTCATTTTGTTAACAAAAATTTGCTTTTTTTTTAACCAGGAAATACATTAGGTTTTAATTTTAGACATTTACATAATTTGATAATTTTTATATAAAATCTGTGATTAATCAATCTAAGCATTAGTTTCAAAGTTACTTTCAAGTGAATCAATTTTACTAAATTTCATATAAAATAAAATTAATAAATATTTTATTGCATTAATTTATTTTAATGGATATTATATTTTTGAAATATAAATAAATATTAAATTTAAAATAACATACTTAAAAATATTTAAATTTTATAAAATTTAATACGCACAATAATTGATATAAATGTGAACGCGAAAACCGTGAATTGTGGTTTGTGGAAGCATCAAAGCATTCTCATGACACGATAAGCTTTCATTTTGAAGTGATGGGCCTGATGGAGTAGGTATACTCTATGAATGGGTTTATTTTTTTTAAAATCCATATGACTGACCCAAACCGGTCTAGGCTCAATTCATCAAGAACCCAAATTTATAATCCCATTTGGGTCATGTGAGACATTCATCAACGACTTTTTTGTTATTATTGTAAAACAATTATTTTGTTGGGTTTGAAAACCCACCGATCGAACGGCCACAATTAGTTTGTGAATTTGATCAAACTGACCGTGTATGCTAAACCCTAATTTCTGTGATCGATCCACTTTCTCTCTATAAATAAATAACGCCGATACCAAAACCCTATTCTCCATAGCAGCGTCGAAAGCTTAGTGAGGGTTTTCCTCTCTCAACATCCGTGTCTTCTCAATTCATGACTCCATATCTCTAACCCCTTTTTCTTACTTACCGAAGAACGCTGAGCGATTTTCTGTTTTGTTTCTTTCTCTTCAACTCAATTGCATTTGAATTGTCGTGTGCCTATGATGGTGTTAAATATACTCCGAGATTTTTGTCTATGATATCAACTTCAATCTGAGGCACTGACTTTATTTCTAATATTCATGTTCAAAAAGCATATCAAAGCGTTGAAAGGGTTTCGCTGTAACCTTCTCATCCTTCCCTTTTTTTTTAAGATTATTTTCATGGCTGAATTGTAAAATCATTGTATGGTTATTGAGTACAATTCTCTTTACATCATTGCCCTTTTGCGTTAACCTTCAAATTCTATGCTTGTAGCTTGCATAAACAGCTATTATACGCAGATGATGACAACATAGACAGGGACATCAGCACTCCAAAGGAGATTGATGACTACGTCTAATGGGAATCTCTCTGATGCGTTCGTAAAAATTATGTATATATTTTTTTATTAATGTAGGTTATTTAGAGCATATATATATAAATCTCATAATAGTTGTTGCGTTCCTTTTTTTTCTTTCTTTGAACGATCATATATGGTTGTTGGTTGTAGAAACCCATTTTATTTACTATTTCAATTTTTGAAAATTTGACTGTATCGTGTGCAAGTGACGATAAATTAGACAGGGACATCAGAATTTATGTTGATAATGATGATTTGTCTTTGGGAATCTCTCTGATGCATAATGAGTCAATGTGAAATTTTTGTAGTGTGTTTAAAGTGGTGTTTGAAAAGATCTTAATTCCTCATCTTTTTAGGTGACATGGTGAATGTCTAGAATGTTTCCGAGTACTTTCGGACTGTCTTACAAGTATAGAAAGGAGAAAAATGTACTTTTTCTTGGTCGGTGGTGTTCATTGGTTTGCAAATTGAAATCTAGACTTCAAAATGCTTGATTTGGGAAGGTTTATTCTGATACCACAACAATGACCTGGCCAATGATGTACTCAATTGCACGTATTATCAGATGTGTTGTTGATGATATCTAAATTGTCACTACCTCTGAGGCCATACTTGACTGTGAATACCTGTTGCCGCCTATTACCACTGTCTCTGTCCTTTGTTCAAAGACACGCAGGAGTCATGTTTTTATGTCCTGAATGTGTTTTTTGTAAAGATTGGGTTGATTTTAGAAGACGTATACGTCATTTTCTTCCCTGTTAAGAAAATTTTTTTTACACGGTTGCTTTTAATTTGTGTGTTGAGTATATATATATATAACATGCGTATTACGGTATTACCTCGTTGGGTAACAATGATAATGGACTTTCACTAATTGCAACCTGTACCCGGATTTTTCTGAAGTGAAAATATTTTGATTATGGTGGACGGAGGTTTGAAACATAGAATCAAACAAGCCTTCAATCAGTCATTATATGGTGAACGTTGTTTTTTAAATCATTTGAACAATTTATTATGTTTGTCATTTCCTCTATTCAAACAACCCTTGTAAGTTATGAACTGCTTTGCATTTTAAAGTCGCCGATTTCTCTGCAAGTGATGCAGTTACCGTTGAACTTGTGTGAAGTGTGCACGTGGTGTCGTTGCCCTTGAACACGATGAACATATTATGAGCAGCAGTGTTGAAATGAAATCTGATATTGAGGGCTGTAAATATTTTCTTTGTTTTTGTGTAGTTTTATCGTTTGCAGAAAGAGTCTATTCACTTTGCCATGGTAAAAAAATTCCCTTAGCCAATAAAGTTCATGCCGGCGTGCATATTTTACAAGCCTGATGATTGTCACTAAGAACGGAGATTTGAAGATGCTTTTGTTGAAGCCTGACTAACATTGGGCTCCAATAGCATCGTATGTAATAAAACCTTTTCTATTGGTATTAATGAAGGCTTGTAATTAGTTGGGTTTATTACCTGTTGTGTAGTCGGTTTCAAAAATTTGATAATGCCAAACAAAATGTTATTTAACTTCGTTTTTTTGTCAACAATGCCTATTTCACTGAAAATAGGAGCATTGCTGGATGTTGATTACGCTGAGTTTGAATGTGTAGTGAAAAGCCCAAGTAAAATCTGTTGCTCTTTTTTCTTGAATTTAGTACAGACATTGGAAACTCGTATTTAGCGTAGAAAAGCGTTATCTATATTAACAAAACCCTAAACAATTTATAACTTATAAGCTGTTTTAGTAAGTTTTCTTGTTTTAAAAAAGCTTTATTGGTCAATTTATGATGGATTGCATTTTATTCTATTTCTATAAATTAAAGCTTAAATTGATGTCATAGCATACGAGCGTTCATTTAAACAACCCAAATAAATGGATCCTAGTCAGAAAGGATCTCGTTGGTTCTGCTCATTTGTAGGCACATCAAGGGCTATGGGTTTGTATCCCGGTGATTCCTTCAGGGAGGCGAGCAAATGTGTTGATCGTAGCTCATGCTCATGGATCAGCTGTCGATGCCTCGGGAAATATCCCTTTCGGTCACAATTAAAAAAAATAAATTTATAAGTTAAAGGAATTAATGCGTGCATATTTGAAGTTAAAATGAAAGGAAAAGTAACGATAATTGTATTTCAAACATATGCTTATGATAATAAGAAACTCCAGCATGTATGTAACATTTGAACTATGAATGCACTTCATAGAATAAAATGCAGAATAGTAATTGTTAGATAATTTGGCATTAGAGGTTGTACTAAGGTAGTAAAATAAATTTACATATATAATAAGAATTTAATTACAGTATGTTGACTGTAATTTTTTTATATTGTAATTTAATTATGGATTGTCACTGCATTAAAAATTACTTAGTGGTTTTTGTAATAATTACTGTAAAAGTCTTTATTTTATCAATATATCAAAATCAAGTTCACGTATAATAAATTGTAGTTATTAAAATTTGAATCATTTGCTTTCTTAAATAATAATTATAATTCTGCATTTTATTTCGAAAACATGTTTTAATATTATATTTAAAAGGGTCAAATCCATTCAATAGAATAGTCAATACTAAATGTCTGATTTATTATGTTTTTGGGGACAAACTTGTTATGTCCTGTACATAGATTTCATTTATTTATTGGGTCAAAGTAGAACTAGGCTGGAAGCAAATGCCCGAAGGGATGACGCCCGAATGTATTTAGGACACAGAACCAATGGAACAAGCCCAACATTAAGGAAATCATGCATAAAAAGCTATTCTATGAACATTTTAATCTGAAATCAACGCAGATTGAGATAATAAGTTAAGTTTAAACTGCACCATAAAAATCAATTGGCCTATTAGCTCAGTTGGTTAGAGCGTCGTGCTAATAACGCGAAGGTCGCAGGTTCGAGACCTGCATGGGCCAATTTAATAAAATAATAATTTTTTTACACCCTATTGAAATTCAACAGTTGTCTGTTTTCCTTTAGAGTTCAAGTTTGGAGTTCATCTCTAACTTTTCTTATTGCATCCCAAGGTTCGCTGCAACGTAATTCTAAGAGACATAGATTAATTTGTCTTTTTGTTTGGTATGTACAGTATAATTACTTAAAAACTCTTTAAATTAATAACTCTCTAAATTAATAAATTTTTCCGATCCTGACATTATTAATTTAAAGAGTTTCTACCGTATAATAAAAAAAGATTGAATTATTCTATTCTCATTATCAACTGAGCAGAGCTAGTGTTTTTTTTTACAACAAATCTCTAGCCAACCCTCCTGTAAAAGATTTTTTCTTAACAACAAATATGTTGGTACTGGATAAAAAAACAGTAACTTCAACAATTTCTTTGTCCTCACCGCTGCTTAATTTCTTAGAATTAATCACTTCAACAATCTTCGATGGTTATACGGGTATCCAAAATACGAACAAGATGGATGTTTATTGTCCCAACCATTCTTGTTAATCTCTATCCCGATAAGACAAGGAAAGATTTTTTTTTTTTACAAGGTTTTCGTGTTGTTGATTCCTAAGCGTAGTGCTTCTTCCCCCATGCCGCCCATTGGTACTAGTAGAGTAGGGTTGACCTAACCCCTATAAGTATAGGTATAACCTTTCGCTTAATACTATAAACCTAAAATTGAAGCATATGAGGCTGCATTAATCGGGGATACACGACAGAAGGAATTAATCATTTTATTTACAAATTTCACCTTAAGCAAACGTAGGTTTTTTTTTTTCAATTTTTACCTAAATTGGTAAAAAAAAAAAATAAAGATAATCAAATCGCACCATTTCTGTAATAAAAGAATGCCTTTTTTTCTCCTGAAGTTGTTGGAATTATTCGTAATAAGATATTGGCTACAATTGAAAAAGTCTTATCAATAAAATTTTCATTTATCCGAGATCTAGGCATAGGTAGAAATCTATTCCATAATTTATTTATCGCGTGAGAAATCAAAATAATCCCACAAACAAAGGAATTGTACAATACAGTACGAAATAACGTAAAAATTGACTCATTAATCAAATTTGTTTATCTTAAGGCCTCGTAAGAGGTTTTTCTTATTTTCTTTTCTATTTTTCTAGTTCAAATTAGTTTTATGCGCCTACCAAAATAGAATAGCAATGATTCACTATTCACCAGGTTTCTGGGCATCATTCTGTGGGAGAGATAGCCGAGTGGTTCAAGGCATAGCATTGGAACTGCTATGTAGGCTTTTTGTTTACCGAGGGTTCGAATCCCTCTCTTTTCGAACCTTTACCAAATTCATCAATATTACTCATCGCAATGTTTCAAATAACAATGCTTCATTGTAGGTTAAGAACTTTGTTAACAAATGTGAGCATGTGACAGGACCGATCATACACTATACTTCAGTTGCTAGGTTCTTTCAAGTTTGAACTTCAGTAATGAATCATCTATGCTCTGAATCTTCATTTCTTTTCTTTGGTTTCTTTATTTTGTGTTTTACATTACTTTATTTTACATTAATTTTTAATGCTTTGTTTTTGTCTCTTTTTTTTTATTACATCATCAACTATATATCTCTTTTTTCGCTTCTCTTCACCCATTTCATACACCAAAAATTGAAAATCAAAGTTTAATTTTTCTAGTCATTATGATTCATAAACACTCAAATAATATCAACACCTATTTAATACATTTCATCTCGTTTTATTTCTCTTACTATATTATGTCATATCATTTATTATTATTTTTATTCTTTTTTTTTTCTCCCTCTAAGTATATACACAGGGTGAGTGTCTACAAAACATTTTTCTTTTCTTAGATTATAATATCGTTTTTAGTTCTACTTGTTATATATATGCAGCATTTTAGATTCTAATAATAATAATAAAAAAGAAGACTTTATACTCATAAGTATATTACTTCAATATCACTGCAAAATCTACTATGCTGATTTTTTTTATGTGGAAATATTAACAGTATATTCTTTAACTCATCTTTCTAAATTTATTTTTGTTATTAAATAAATATCACGTGAAACTTGCATAAAAATTCATCCAATAAATTTTGAAAAAATGTCAAATGTGGATAGGCTGATGAAGGGGCTGACTAATGGATTCTCCCATTCTCTAGTGTGTAAAGAATTAAGATTAGGTGTAAATATTAAGATCCCAATTTTAAGTAAGGCTGTTAGGTGCTAGTCCCTTTCGTGTTTGTAGGTCTCACATACACCCTAAACTTACCAATTATCAAGCAATGTTACCTTCAATCTAAAAGTTAAGATATGAAAGAAACTAGAAGCTCAAAAAGTTAACACAAAACTGATAATCAAGTCATTATAAATAATTTGGACTCTGTTTTGGCATGAACCAGCCAATAGTTACAAATTACAATACGTACACAAACATATAAGATAATTGGCTTAAATGGATGACGAACACTGAACAGGGTTTGTGGCGCCTTCTGCATACAATTTACTTTAGTGCATGTTATTAAACTATAGTAGAGGCGTGCAACTAATTATTAATTAATACTATGTTAATCAGTGTGCCTAACCCACCAAGCCAGTAAACAAATCAATGATCCTCCTGCCGGTGAAAATGACACATTTTTTCCATTACTAGTATCTGCTTGGCACAAATGAAGTGTGGTTATCTTT